CCGGGCACAATGGGGAATATAGAAAAGAATGTTTAAGCTGGTTGCCCTGAGAATCAAAACACGTTAGCGGTGACGTAAATTGCTCTTTAGTCGTCTCTCCGACGCTGCTAATTAGAATATGAAGCGGCCACTCATTTTAGGGGAGACAGAAAGGCTGTCGCTTTTAGCACAGAATTTGTTGCCCCGGAGTCATCCAGAATTTTAACTTGTACACCACAGATTGTTAGCGTATATTACGGGCATGAATTATCTCTAAAAAGTGCCAATTGCAATTTGTTGTTGTTCAAACTTACATGAGCGGTCGCTTTGGTGACGAATGTGAACCCAGGTTTGGTCAGTCGCTCGTGTTTCCTCCGTGCCCGCCTCTGCCGTCCTCTGGCCCCGTGTTAGCTTGAGCGTTCCTCTGCCTTTAACGCCTCCTCCGGTGACAGTCCTTCGACCCATGTCGAGCACACAGTCTTTCCGCCGGGCTGTGGAAGTTTTTCAAAGTCCGCAGGAGGCCCAGGTAGCCCAAAGCGTTAGCATGTGGTCCATGAGGGTTGGTGAATGACCCAAACGTGCCGGTCACAATGGCTTCTTCTGTTTGCGGTGTGGGAACAACTTTCAAGCGGGTTTCCGCGGGTGCGTTTGGTATATCACGCTGCCCCCTCCGTGGAGAACAGTCACGGGATTTGGAGCAGTTTCTCTCTGTGCTCCAGAGCAGTTGTCGGTGTCTCACATATTTGCTTCCCCCACTTCTTCTGTGGTTTCCTGAGCGTGTGTCTGTTTCCGCCTCTTCTTCTTCTGCGGTTTGGGCCCACTTCTCGCGGGGTCTCAGCTGGTGCGAGCGCCGCCTGTGGTTGGGGCGTGGGGCTGGTGCTGAGGCTTTGAGGCAGAGGACAGAGCGCGGAGGAAAGGCGCCGACAGACCTGGATAAGGGAGAGGGAAAAGAGACAACAGTAGTCTGCTTCATTTTTTAAAAACCCAACGCCTTGTTTGGGCGCGTACTTAGCATGGAGTTCTGCTCCTAGTGTGAAAGGGTTAGTAGGTGAGAGAGGGCGTGTGTGTGCGCCTGTGTGTTCTCCGCTTTGGTGAAAGGCGGAGGAGCTATTGTTTTTACATATTTCTTTCTCTAACCTCTTTTGCCGTGATATTCTTAAAACCAAGTATATTTTTTTTCTTCCCTTCTTCTTCTAAATTATCACGCAGATGACCTGCACCATAGGCAAGCACTTCATAGCTTGCATCTGTAGATTGATTTTACCCATTTTCTCGTACGAACAATGGGCCTAACCCGCTTAGTCTCTCCCTGCTCTTACCCACTTTGGGGCGCTCCGTTCCCCCCCCCGCTGGTTCAACCAGCGAGCGCGCGTTCTTGAAAACGGAGCGGTTCTGGCTGAAGACACTCAGAGATTCCAGGGTCGCTTACAATGCGATACTAACGCGCAGCCGCTAGCTTCAATCTAGAACAAAAAAGCCCCCAAAAAATCCCGCACACAGACTATGCTGTGGCAATGAATGAAATACCCCAAAAATACATAAATAAACAAATCCCCGTGTCGACTTAAGGGCTGCCCTGGGCTCGTTACGCAGATGAAAAGACAAGACTCACCAGATTAGGTTCTTTTTGGTCTTGTAAGGCAAAAAGATTCCTTCCGTGCGCGGGACGAGCGCGCCCTCCTTTGTCTCCAAAAAGGAACAGAGGCTGGTGATCCAGGTCGGCCAAACAAAGCCGCTCGTCCCCGCCGAAAGTATCCATGCCAAGACATGCCAGCAACGCCAAATTGTTAAGGAAGTTTCTACCCAATGAAGGAGGAAACTCAAAGGTCCTTTGTCTGATCAAAAGCGTAAGTTTATTGTTAACGCACGTGCGGAGGGCCAGCACATCCACTCAAAGGCAGCATGTCCCAGCTCTGGGGGCCAGAGCCCCGAGTTTCCTGTATACAAGACACACACGAAAGCCAGTCCCGCCCACAACAGATGGGAGGGGGGCCACCGGTGCAGGAGGCGCATAGGGATGCAAACAGACTGCAGGATGTAGAGAGTGCACACATACAGACCGATACATATGCAAGAGGTGAAAGGGGGCAAGAGTGATAGCCATTGTCTGTAGGTGTCGGGGGGGCCCGGCTCCTTCCTGGCAGCAGGGACATATGGATAGGAGCAGGCATACCGATTCAAGATACGAAAGACACAAGGGTGTGACAGACAGCAGGGGGCCCTCACAAAGCTCAGCATGGCGTCAGAAGGGCGTCTCTGCATTGATAAAAGGCCTTTGACGTCCGTGTATTTGCTGCGGCTGGTTTTATGTAATTACTCCAAAAACTGTCACCACAAGGGCGACAGCTGAGGGTTGTCCAGCTCCATCTGCTCTTTGAACCCCATCATGTGCAGCATTGCCTCTGCTGCCTCGAGCTTGGCCGTCTTCTTGTTCTGACCCACGCCCTGACATGTCCTCTGGTCCACTCTGACCTCCATACAGAACTCTGATGCACGGTAGCCACAGTGTTGGAAGTGGACCACCTTGTACTCAGCAGGCCTCTGCTTCCTCACCATCAGGATCTCTGCCAGGGCACTGATAGGGTCTTTCTTGTAAAAGAAGTAGACCCGCTGTGATGGGTCCACCAGCTCCATGCGGGGTTTGGACCAATATGGAGTCACGTCCTCTGGCAAAGGACGCTTCCTCAGCTGATGCACCACCACCTTATAGCTGCACTTAGCTTGGCCTTTTGTTTAGTGGGGCCTGCACCATATCCCATCAGGTCCCCCACTACCAGCTCTATGTGGAAGGTCTGTGCATGGCTAGGGCCCTCTTTTCCCATCTCAGTGAACTGCAGCTGCAGTTGGTGCAAACATGCCAGTTCATACAGGCAGGACAGGTCTGTCTTGTGAACTTCATTGGGGAGTTCACAGTGCATGTTGTCTGTGTTTGTATTTGCGTCTGTGTCTATAACGATAAGTGTCGAGAAGTAATACACTGTTGTAGGAACAGGTCGCTGTGTCTCTGTGGACATAAATTAATTAAGCCTGTATTCATCCCCCTGTGCACACTTTATAAAGCCAAAATTCTAGAATGACATCACAAAAGATAAGCTGGGTTGCCATGACAACATAGCAACCATTCGCACGCATGCGCACAGTGCTAAAAGGAGGAGTGACTTCTCTTTGAAAACGTCCTGTTGCTTTTATCCTGTATAATGCATACAGGTTTAGTCACATCTTTGTTTTTGTAATAAAAATAATAATTATATCATAATAACATTTTGTCGCCGGTGCGTGACTTGTGAACTGCCGCCGCTGGAGCTGACCATAGAGCTGACACAGTCTGTATCATGCATAATTCTGTCTATGTTCATGTCTGTGTGCAGAACATGTGCGTGAGCGCCTCCTGCAGGTTCAGCTGTGACATTCATCATGTCTCAGCGCAAAGTTTGGACGAACATCACGTTTCATTGATTGTATTCGAGTCTCGACTGATGAGTAAAGTATCATCAACAAATGAATGTAATCTGGATCTGTGTCACTCTTCTGTCGAAGAGTTACACTACCGTTCAAAAGTTTGGGGTCACCGAAGTGTTTTCCATGAAAAGTCACACTTATTCACCACCATACGTTGTGAAATGAATAGAAAATAGAGTCAAGACATTGACAAGGCTAGAAATAATGATTTGTATTTGAAATAAGATGTTTTTTACATCAAACTTTGCTTTCGTCAAAGAATCCTCCATTTGCAGCAAAAACGACATTGCACCAGACATTTGCAGTCCCAAAAGCAGAGTGGTCAGTCAAAGTCCAGATAGATTCAGTCCTTCATCTCCACTTCCATCTCCCTGTTCCTTTCTCAGAGTGAAGTGCTGGATACAATACATGATCCACGTTGGCTACTTGTCACATTACTGTGTTCACTTTACCTACTATTACTACTGCAATACATTCTTCATATGGTCTGATGTAGTTGTGGCTGGTCTTGATGAAGGAAATTAACGTTCCTGCATCCTCATTTAAAGTTGGTATAAGAACATTTGGACAAATATGGTACATTTTGGAAGCTTCATGAACAAACGAGGATATACATTTTTAGCCTTATGCAAATGTGTTAAGAGAAGAAAAGGTGCAGAATTTCACAAAGAGAAGCACCAGCAACATTTCACGGGTAAAGGATATTGGTTCAGATTTGGATGAAGATGGATATAGATCCTTAACACACATCACAATGGAGTACATCAAGAGATCCAAGTGAAAGGTTTTGCAAGGGCCTTCACTGGATCAGCAAACGCAACACAGCCCAGACATCTCGTAAGTGGACAATTTTTGGAAAAAGTACCTGACACTAGAATTGAAGCGCTTACTCCGTCATTTATTAAATAATTATCAGATTATTTAAATTCTATTTTTGAAACATGTTTGCAACATTTCATCAACTTGGTGGCATGCAAACTTTCATACCCCACTGGAAGTATATGAAAATGAGGAAGTTCATATGTGTACAGTCGTAAAGTAAGCATATAGTCTAAATATAGTCTACATAAAGTCTGGTTTACTTTGGACATTCCGGGAGTGGGCGAAAAGTCTGTGCCCGAGCAAACTCATCACCAGGTGGCGCCAACACATGAAATGATTACTTAAAATACTATGCACAGTGGATTTAACTGAACAAAATAGTGTTCCTTGATGTGCTACATGCAGCTTTGTCATCAATCGAAGTGTACTTTCATACACTGACATAGATAAATTACAACATCCAATTAAAATAAATAAAAAATAAAAAAGTGTGTGCGTGTGCGTATGAGGGTTGGAGCCAATGAGCGTTTGCTTCGTCCAACCTCTTTTTCAAACTGGATATTTTTTGTGTTGTTTTATGGTTTATAGTTTAATTTTTAATATTTTCGGGAAAAAAATCTTTCTTTCTGACTTACTTAGAAATACGTGTTATTATAATAGCAATACAGGGGAAATACAAGTTATTATAATAGAAAGCCACGATAAATTCATGTTATTGTATTTCTTCTACAAAAACAACAATGGTGGGCGTTTCCCGCCACGCACGCTTCCTGTGGGTTGTGACGTCCGCGTGTGTTTGGGGCATAAAAACATCGCGTTCGAGAAAGGTGGTTGTTCGTCTTCGCTGTTCACATTCTTCAATCCTTACCATGGTGCAGCCAGTGCCCAGAGCCGCAGTAAATGCGACTACAATGCTCAAAGCAGGCCATCCTCCCGCAGGTAACACTTTTTCTTTGCTCAAATATTCGCAACAACGATGCATGTTTGCAGAGAGCGTGCGTGCGTGACGTGCCCCAAAGTCACACCATGTTCATATCGCCATTGATCGTTATCTGCGCATGTTGTTGTTTTATTTGCATGCAAAACGGGATCCATTACTGTTCTTTTCGGCCACGCTGTGCAGATTGCGTCATCTCTCTCCTTTGTTATCTTGCTGCGTACAGCTACAAAGAGTTAAATCTCAGTCGTACACGAAGTGCTTGATGTCTCCAAAGAATTTCACATTTCACAATGTGCAGCTGGGCATCGGTTCTTAATAAAAAAAAGTCATTCAGGATCTTATCCAGATTTTAGGTATTTAGTCAGATGTGTTTGGTCATTCAAGTCAAATTAATGGAGAGAATGTTTTCCTCGTACGGTGTGAGTTTCAAACGGGACAAACTGTTAATGCGAACATTAGTTGCATGACCAGTGTAGGCTGTGTTTTATAATTATACAACAACAATGTATGATCTTAAAAAATCAAATGGAAAACAAATAATCCTGTTAGAGACTAATCCTTTGACCAGATGCTTAAGTGTTTGTTATGCTGCACAGCTCCCCTCACTCTTGGCCATTAGATTTTTTTAGCATTATGTAGGTCACTTTCATAGATCCCAAACAGTGAGCCAGCGAGTTGGCCACAATAACAAAAACACCCATGCAGGACACGGTGTACATTTGCAACTTCTTGAAACTATTATGTCCCCACGTGGTTCGTCTGAATTATTGGTTTGTGAAATCTGTGGCACTTGTTTAGAGAAACCTCAAATGCTTAGTTCTGCCTTTTTATTTGACAGTAAAAGCCGGAGGTAAACGTGTGGCAAAGAAAAACCTAGAAGACGCTACTGTGGTGAAGGACGCAAGGAGGTCTGAAAAATTAAGGTGAAGGTTAAAAAAAAATGCTACAAAACTACTTTATTTTTCAACAATAACATTGGCAATGCAGAAGTTCTTTGCTGGGTATTCATAGCAACTGGCGAATTCCATTATTTAACAGTTTAATAATTTATAGTCTAGAAAATCCATTTACTTAATTGAAACTAGTTCTTTGTGGATTATTCAAAATGTAGTTTGGACAGTACATGCTAATGAACTGACTTGTTTTGTTCTTCTGACTAATTATTGAACTTTGTCATGAAAAGCGCTTTATATATGCCATGCCTGCCTTCTAAACATGTGTGCTGCTGCGTTTTCTGATATCTTTTTATCATCTTGCAGCAGATCCATCCCAGCTGCCAGCAGAATGAACCAAGTCAACCTGCTGCTGTCCGGGACTCTGGACAAGGTATAAAACTATGTCAGTTTTTTTCTTGTCAAATCGCAACTTTTAAAACGGGTTCAACTGCAACTTTTCTTTCCACTTTGTTGCCAGCTCGGCCATGACTTTCCAGAAACCCCAGTGAGCGTGAGGCACAGCAAGGTCCGGCCCGCTATGGAAAAATCCCACTGCCCCAAAACGTACTTCATTCAACAGCCCAGGAAGTTCTGAACTGCATGGGCTTTTAACACGTCCCATTGCAGACTGCTAACCCATAGAGACGACACCAGAGGGGAGTAGAGAGGGCTCTTTGATGTGCTTTGTATTTGCTTTTTAGACGTTTGGGGCAGTGCTTGTTTACACTTTACTCTACGGAATATTTTGATATATCAAAAGTATCTCTTTTGTTATGAGATAGATATTTGCACAAAACAAAAGATTGAGAAAGAGAATTGTATGTTTATTGGGGTGTGGGTTTGTGTAGAGGATTTTGAAAAGAAGGCTGAGTGTTTTCACAGATGTTGTTGCACTTACAATAAAATAATTGCAATGTACCAAGAATACATGTAGTCTGTTTTTGCACTTCAGGAGTACTCTATTTTGATGAGGGTGCAGTAAATGCCTTTTCAGCGACACAAACACACTGACTTACCAGTTTATGGTAAAATGAGCCAAACATGTTTGTAGTGGTAGACATTTAATACTCTCTTGGATTTCTTTCTGCTGCTGCTTGAGGCTTACACTAGTTTACAGGATTGTCAGGTATATTGCACCAGCAACCTTGACACTCCTCCCTGCCCCCTCTTGAAGAAAGGCACTGCACCCTGATTCTACCACTTTTGATTTAGTGGATAATGTGAGTTTAGAGTAACTTGTTAGTTTTCTACCACACAGGATTTCGTTCATTTAAGCCAGGGGTGTCCAAACTTTTAAGATGGCCATTATCAGACTTGACCTGGGGCTGACAACCTGGATTTAAAACTGTTTGCGCCGGTTTGACTGAATTCTGAAATTTAAGATGGGGAATGATGCGTCCTGTTTGACTCACGCCACAGCTGCATTTTTCTTTTTGAATGTTGTAACACAATGAAACGTCAGTATAACGTTTTAGTTAACGACTGGATTCCAGAGGTTCTGAGATTTACAACAAGGTATAGCAGGACTGTATTGGTGGAGCTGAAGTTGGTTGGATGACTCTGTCAAAGTGCCTCAATGGCGACTTTGTGTTAACAGAGGGCCGCAATTGGCCCGCGGGCCTGAAATTGGACATGCCTGATTTAAGCCAAAGCGTCTCATCTTACCAGAGCAGCTTCCACATGTAGTGTCTCTTTGCTTCTTGTTGCTTTATTTGAACACTGGCTTTCTATTCGCCACGCTTCCATAAAGGGTATTTTTGTGTACAGCATTATGCGTGACCAATAAATATCCCATGAGTAGATTCTCCCAGCTTAGCTGTGAATGTCAGCATCTCTGATCAGTGCTGTCCTTGTGGGGCTTTTAAGTTCAACTTCATCCCTACCCTGTTTAATGTGTTCCCTGGACTTCATGATGCTGTTTAGGTGTAAAAGTGTATAGGTTTGAACATTTCTTCGAGGCACTGTACATGATGCAGCTCTATTGTTCGTCATGTTTTGCGTTTATCAAATACATATATTTTCTATCAGGATGAAATATGTTCTTGAGTCCATACATTCAAACCCATTGTGGGCACTTTCCTCCTGCCAGGAACATTTACTAGTTATTCTTACACAGATTTGTGTTCACGGTCTACAATCTGATTATTTTCAACAACACATTGCTATTTGGCCACGCAAAGGCCAGGCCAATCTTCATAATCAATGGCGTGTGCACAGTTCATGACTTTGATACCAACGGGTCACCACACAGACTGCTCATGTCTCTGTCTCCGTTTTCAACCACATTCAGGCCGCCCAGACCGATCTTCTCAGACACCACTGACCTGATGAGACATTAGAGAAGATTTCTTTATAGCACAGTATTTCAAATTGAATAATTTTAGAGCAACATCGCTAATGGACCTTCATTCTAGTGTCAAGCTTTTGTTTATGTCACATTGGTGCAATGTACAAGGGTCCTAACAGGCAATAAAAGGAGGGAACAAATAACCCCAGTGTTAAAAGCGCTCCACTGACTTCCTATGGAGTTCAGAATCAAATTTAAAATCCTTCTTCTGACCTGAATCTGAAATCCTAAATTCCTCTTACAGGGGATCAATAAAATATCTATCTATCTATAAGGCCCCCTCCAACCTCCGGAATGCATTGGAACCATACCAACCAAACCGTGCACTCCGCTCTCAGGATGCCAGATATCTGGTGGTCCCTAGAGTGTTAAAAAGCACAGAAGGCAGAGTGTTTAACTACCAAGCTCCTGTATTGTGGAATCAGCTTCCTATATATATCAAAGAGGCAGCCCATGTCCCTTTTTTCAAGACCAAGCTTTAAACATTCCTTTTTGGATAAACGTATAGTTAGGTCAGTATTAAAACGCATAAATGAATAGTAACACCTGGGGCTATTTATCCTGCTCCCCCGAGGGCTAGATTTGTGTGACTGGTGGGACTCAAAACCCTGGACTCCTTGGACCTGAGGACTGGTCCGAGTCTAAGCTAGTGTTAAACTATTCCAGGCATTTTTGTGACGCCCCTTGAGACGACTGCTGTTGTGATTTCGGGTGATACAAATAAAACTGGTTTGAAAATGATTTAGATTCACATGATTAGAATGAGAACCTGGCAGTGTTGTGACTTCTGGTTTTTACTCTGGCATTTTCCATCCTTCAATATCACAAATCGAGTTGCTGCAAGAAAGGGCTGATGTGGACTGTGACCTGGCAAAGTGGATCCTGGACTACACCACAGACTGACCACAGAGTCAGCAACCAGTCCGACCCCCTGACCTGCACCGTGGGTCTCCCCAGGGGCAGGCCTTGCATCGTGCCTCTTCAACCTCTACACTGCAGACTTCAGACACAATACAATACAATACAATACAATACAATACAATTACAATACAATACAATACAATTACAATACAATTTATTCTTGTATAGCCCTAGGTCACAACAGAAGTCATCTCAGAGGACTTAACAAAACCATTGAAATCACCAACACAGGTCAGAGACTCAACAGTTAAAACACATGAAGAATACAGTATAAAGCACACACAGAAGAAAATGTCCATACATGTTGTAGAATGCTAAAGTGTCCTGATCATCACCAATCCTTTCTGTTGGACACTAACTGTCCAACAAGACCCTCCTGCATCGACAAGGAAAAACTCTTAAAAAACCCAGTGGGAAAAAGTGAGAAACCTTGGGGAGACCTAGGGAAACCCACAGGGAGGGAGACCCATATGAGAAAGGGATCCGCTCCTCCGGACGGACAGACTAATGATCTAGGACCTAAGCTAGCTACAGAACGTGGACCAGTGGACGCTGAACGTGGACAGGTCCGGTGCAGGACTGAAGCACTCCCAGGCGGGTCGGGCAGGGCAGTCCGCAGGTGTAGATGGAGGAGGCCAGGCTCAGAGGTCCCGTCATCGTACCATGAAACAGACAATGGGACAGCGGGTGAATAGCAATGAACAAACTACAGTCAGAATCCTAAAAATGCTAAACAGATAAAGTAGGAAGGAGGAGAGGATAGTGCTCAAGTTACCATACTTCTCCCAGCAAACTGACTCCCTATGCAGCTTGACTGACAGTCTGAGGAGTTTAACCTTCCCTGAGTCTTACCTTCCTAGCCATATGCTAAACTAAAGAGGACTGTTTTAAACCTAGCCTTGAATAAAGAATAACATACAGCATAATATATAACATAATATACAACATAACACAATACATTATTGAATAATATATAACATAATATATAACATAATACAGCATATATATATAATATATACACTACATATTATATATTACCTAATTATATGCTAAATTAAAGTAAAGTGCTTTAAGCCTGGCCTTGAATGTGGAGACCGTATCTGCTTCCTTAACATAAATGGGAAGCTGATTCCACAGTAAAGGAGCTTGGTAGCTAAATGCTCTGCCACCAACAGTGACCTTTGAGACCTTAGGGACCACCAGACGTCTGGCGTTTTGTGAGCGCAACGCTCGACTTGGTTGATACGACACTAACGTGTCTTGGAGATAAGAAGGAGCCAAGCCATTTATGGCTTTATATGTTAAGAGTAGGATTTTAAACTTTATTCTGTACTCCACAGGGAGCCAGTGGAGTGATTTTAGACACAACACTGTCAATGTCCTTCAACTATAGGAACGTGTGCAATAGTGCAGAAATATGTGTCCACTAACATTGCACTATTATTTCCGTTCATATCAACGTAGGTTACATGCATACTCTTATAGTCTTATGTCTTATTGGAATTGTTTAAATATCTACAGATTTGAGATAATTTTCCAAGTGTTTTATAAGGCAGTTATATTTTATGTGTCAATAATATTAATCATAATAATCTTCTCTTATAGTGCAGGGATTCTTTGCAGTACCTCCAACATACCTCATGGGGGAGCTGTTGATTGGGAAGTGAAAGCAACTTCAAAGGGTTTGGCTGGTAAAAGTAAAGTCTGCTCAACAGTATTAGGACAAAAAGGCACTTAAAAGCAGAATTCACTACTGGCAGGCTACTTGTGTCTAGTCAACAGAGAGAAGTGGAGATTAAAAGCAGAGGAAGTACAGTGTACGGTGTATAAGCTTCAGTGTGGCAAAGAGTGCGTTTTAGTTTTGATCATGCCATTTAAAGTGCATATAGTTTTTAATATTTTTTTTATTTCAGTCAGCGAGTGAGTGACACCCGATGTAAAAATAAATAAATAGTTAAATAGTTGAAGCAGTGACTTTTTTTAGACATGTATGGGAAGCAAAGTGCAATTCTAGAACTATACTACTGACTAAATACAGTATATATATAGTCATAAATTATTCACTCCACTCAATCAAAGTGTTAAACTCCATCCATCCATTTACTTCTGTTTCATCCGTTGCCAAGTCACGGGGCAGCTGTCTAAGGTAGTGTTAAACTATTCCAAGTATTCAGAAAACATCTAATTGGAACACACAACAGAAAACATTACAACAATATTTTTATTTACATTTAAGTATTTTTCCTTATAAATGATTTGTCTGATGTGAGATTTCATAACACTTTTAAGCAACTATTGTTAAAGTTCAAACTCATCATTCTATCAATGTGCAGAAGCCTGTACTTTTCCCTTGTTTTGTCTATCTGAAGGCCAAGCTACAAGCACACCGTGGCAGCTGCTGATTGGAGGTCTTCATGCCTCCGCTCTGTATAATACACTTGCATTCTGTTGTATCTGTTGTTCGTGTTGTTCGTGCTGTCTCTACCATCGACAATAAAACATGTCTTCTGTCAGAATTAAAGACGCGATCCCAGACTATGTCATCTTCTTCACTGAATCCACAATAGATCCGTTGACCTAAATGTATCAATCAAAAACTGACTGACTGAACTCATTTATCCTCATCTTCATCCTATCATAGAACAACAATATATACGCCCTAACTATACATTTAAAAAATAAATCTAACCATGTTACAAGAACTGCTTCATGTGAAAACACTGACAGTACTAAGCAGGCTTCACACTGTACTTGTTTTGACCATAGGAGTAATGACAACACATAAGACACAAAATATTCCCTTTGTGATACATTCTCTGTTTAGGCCGTTAATGACTACATAAAGTAGTCATATGTCTTACTGTTTTGAATACGGGGTAACTGATGTGTTGTTAAAACTGGCTGTCAGACCCCCTGTCCCTTTTCACTCTGAGCTCTTGTAAACCTGAGGATGCTTGAAACGCCTCTGGCTCAGACCTGTGGAGAAGCAAGCATAAACAGGATGGAGATACACACATACACGTTTAAGGCGGAGGCTATTGCATGCGCATGTGTGTGTTTCTTGTGTTCTTCTTTGAGTTACTGTGTTCTAGATATATAAGCCATTGAATTAAAAGTAAAAGGTCAATGGTGGAGACAACATCTTTGTAAAGGCTTTTGAGTTAGTTATACACATTATGTCCAACCATTATGCATGTAATGGATGTCCTAACCTTGAGTTTGATCACGACAGTAGTGACATACATTAAAGACACAGTCCCCCTGATGAAGGCCGTTGGATCGGAGAGTAAAACCATCCAGGTGGTGCCATTGCTGATTAGTTGTGATGGGTTATGTGTATCCTGTTTATGAGCCACTTCATGGAGAATAAGAAACCAACAAAATCAACCCAAGGTACACAATATATTCTGATGGAAGGGTCTACCACCTGCTGGTCCGGTGATGCTGACACTTGTCTTCCATTTATTTGATATATATATTTGTATTTTCTCACTGAAGGGCTAATGAAGGTATCATTCATTCATTCATTGCTGCAGGAATGACTAAAGGTAATTTACGTCTTGGGGTCCAGTAAAGTGAAGCTGTTCTTCACTTTATCTACTGATCATCTGAAAAGTCCTGTGATCTCCTGGACTGTCTAATGCCCATTTAACTGTGGACACATTACTTCCTGTGAGGCTTTGCTAGCATATCATCAATGAACAAACATATCAGGCCTGTGATCGCTGCTGCCTGTCTTGATTTCTCACAGGCCTAAAGTGCAAATGTGTATGTTTGCATAATTTTCAAATCACATTATGTCACATACTTTAAAAAAAGATATATATCACATAAATGAATAAAACTATTGCATTAATCATCTACACCCTCCGGCCACTTTATTAGGTACACCTTGCTAGTACTGGGTTTGACCCCCTTTTACCTTCAAAACTGTCTATATCCTTTGTGGCATAGATTCAACAAGGTACTGTACACATTCCTCACAAAGTTTGGTCCATATTTGATAGCAACATGCAGTTTATGCAGATTTATCGGCTGCACATCCATGATCCAAGGAAGGATAAATCCATGCCTTCATGTTGTTGACTCCAAATTCTGACCCTACCATCCGAATGTCGCAGCAGAAATAGTGACTCATCAGACCAGGAAACTTTTTCCAATTCTATTGTCCAATTTTTGTGAGCTTGTGCAAATTGTAGCCTCAGTTTCCTGTTTTTAGCTGACAGGAGTGGCACCCGGTGTAGTCTTCTGCTGCTGTTGCCCATCTGCCTCAAGGTTTGACGTGTTCTGTGTTCAGAAAGGCTCTCTTGCATACCGTGGTTGTAACAAGTGGTTATTTGAGTTACTGTTGCCTTTCTATCAGCTCAAACCAGTCTGGCCATTCACCTCTGACCTCTGGCATCAACAAGGCATTTTCACCCACCAAACTGCCGCTCACTGGATATTTTTCTCTTTTTCGGACCCTTCTCTGTAAACCCTAGAGATGGTTTTGTGTGAAAATCTCAGTAGATCAGTTTCTGAAACACTCAGACCAGCCTGTGTGGCACCAACAACCATGCCACGTTCAAAGTCACTTAAAAAGTCACCTTTCTTCCCCATTCTGATGCTCAGTGTGAACTGCAGCCGATCGTCTTGACCATGTCTACATGCATGAATGCATTGAGTTGGCCTATTTATTAGGAGTTCCTAATAAAGTGGCCGGTGAGTGTAGATTACATGTTTTGACAATTCCTGAGGATTTCATTTTTTTATATTTTTGTTGTAGTTTCCTGTACCAAAATATATAATTTATTTATATTAATTTAATATATAAATAATTTATTATTATGTTTCTCTGAATTTGAAACACTTGAAATTCTTGATATGGCAGAGAATATGACAATAACCATATAGAACACGTGTTATTTATGAAACAAAAAAGTAGGTACCCACCTTTAATAAATGTATAGCGCCATTGGTTGCAGGATGGTGACAACTTGAACTGTTAACTTGGACTGAAGATTAAAATCTTTTTTATACATATGTTAAATATTCGTTGTATATTTCTTCTGTAAAGACAACAAAACAAATAGTAAAAAAAATCAAATAAAAAATATGGTGGCTGGTGCTACGAGTACTGGGTGGCATCTCTGGCCGCCCCCCACGCACCTCAATAATCGCCATTATTTTAGAGTACCATAAAAATTAAAGAGGAAATAAGTCAACAGAACAAAAAGAGGGACCTCCATGAAAGTAAAACAATAAATAATAATACACATTTTAAAAACCTATTACAGAGAATCAAGGAATTAAAATTGGAATCTTTAGTTTGGAATTACTGGGCCTATTACGCACGGATTGCATAAAAACAACAACCTCATTCTAATTATTTATCATAGCCCCCTTTGGCCTACATCCTCCCCATATACCCATAAAACACGTGTCCTAATTCATGCATCACCCCTGTTGGATGGGGGGAGTGGGGGAGTATAGTCCGGGGGGAGACCATGGAGGTGACACAGCTGAGGGGAGCGGTGCGTCTCCCTGCCCCAGCCCCGCAGATGACCTCACGTTAGGGGGAGGAGGAAGAGAACAGCCCGCTCCTACCTCCGAGTGCGTGGAGCCTACAGCCAGTGGGAATGCGCCCGTGTGGACATACAGGGACGCGCTGAACTTTGGTTATACACTTTTGGATCTTAAACATCCATGAAATGCAACAGGTAAGAGCTTTGAACGCGTATGTGCTGCTTTGTCTGTGCGTTAAGATGAGTAAAAACTATCAGACACTGGTTTTGTAGCTAATGGCATTTTCCCGGAGGAATGTTGGGACATGCCCATGTTTAGCTGCACAGGACTGACAGCAGAGTGTTATACCCAGGGCCAGGGCTGTCGACTTTTGGACAACTTGATCGAGTAAGTTTTAAATGTGTTCTTATGTTGCTTTTGGCTTTGCGTAACGTGAGGCACTTTAACGTAACGATCGAGCAATGTAAACAAATAGGATGAGATTACAATGTTGTCAATAGGGACATGAGAGTATTAAAAGAAAAGTAAAAGAGTATTTGACTTTGCTAATGCTAGTTTCCTGAATGACCCACTTGGTAGAACATTTTGAGATACAACACAGAGCTGTAGTAGATGTAGAAGTAACACAAAAGTTTAGTCCACCTGCTGCTGCAGACTCACAGGGTCTGAGGGACACGTCTACATGGGTATGATTGAGGATGTTTGACAATATGGTAAACGCCATTGAAACAAGCCATGAAGTGTTTGTGGCAATATAATCCCTGGATAATAATATTTTACAGTCTATAATAATAATACAGTCACGTTGAGACATGGAAGCTACATGGAAGTTCCCCCAGAACATCTACCCAATGAATCATTCAGTTTAAGTATGTTTCCTCATTAAGAGAAAATTTTAGAATTTGGCTTTCTACCCCATTCCTCTATTATCCCCAACCAAAGCTGTCTCCCATTATTATTATTTCCATTATTGGACAGTTGAACTGGACTTCTCTTCTCTTTAAAAAGACTTGACAAATTCTCGTTCACTTGGGCCAAAAAATGGTTTATTAGTGTATGTAAAACCACCAAACACGTTCTGTGAAGCATTTCCCCAAGAATCCAACTTGGTCCAGTTAGTGTTTCTTAGCTTTCTCTTTCCCACAAACTGAGGACTTGCCTGAATTCATAAAAAGTTCATCGCAAAGTTTGCCATTAGAAATCTTTTAAGTAGAAAATATAGAAATATAGAACATATAATTTCCCGGTTTCCACATAAATCTTGATCCACTTATGGTATAACTAATTTAGAGATTACACAAATAGGCAAACAAGGCCCGCCCGTATTAAAAGAACCTCATCCCCCATTATTATAGTTGCCTATCCGTTTCCAGTTTCCATGTTTGCCAAAGCACTTAATCTCATTTGGGTCTCTCCCTTCCTAAGGACTACCCCTGAACTTTTAAGAGGTCAGTTTTTGGCTCACAGCTGTGTGGTCCTGTTTGATGCTGTTTTTTACTCTGTGTTTTGAAGATTGGCCGTAGCAGTGGTTTGCAAACCAGAGGTACCCAGCCCAGATCTCTGAGTGCACTGGCTTCTGAAGAGCTGTAATCTAGTGCGCCCACATACATTGAGTCATTGAAGGATATTTTTGTGTTTTCTGCGTATTGGACTGTAGGATTACCCCGATGACTTTGAAATGATTTTCATGGCTCTTTTGATAAACACCACGATGGAGCTTTCATCGCTTGAATGAGATCATATGTGTTGCTGATAAATGTCATTAGTCATACATTTGTTGAGAGTCAAATATAGTGGTTAAGTAGGAAAACATGATTGATGTGTTTATAATAAAAGTTTTTAAGAATATTTATATTTAATCATAATGAGTACGACAGCACAAAGCACTTAAAGCTAGTAACAGCCATGTAGCTAGGTGTCTGTATAGTTTGTGTGCTCTTTCTACTGTCCTGTATGTACGCTGCATCACTGACATTTCCCTTCTGTGGGATGAATAATAAATCACTGGGGAGAATTGTGTCCAATTGAGTTAGCAAGTTTGAAAACTAAATAATACTAGTTTTCTAAGGGTAAAAGTTAAAATGTTATGATGCTGTGGGTAATATTAGCCAGTAAATACTTTAATTACATATTGGTCGATTTAGGCTGGACCAATAACTTATTACAGATTTTCCAATGTCTGCTGATATCTGATTTCAGGTTTTATGATTGCGACAGAGCTTTAATCACCAAAGAATGCCAGGGAATTGTTTAAAGAAAAAACAAACTTGTAATCCACAAATAATGTAACTTTTATTTTCTGTGGAGATGTGGCTTTGATTTAGCTTTGTTGTGATTATAATGTAAACCTTTTTTGACAGATTTACAACTAATATGTCAAACTAATCAATTTTTTTTTCCATTAAATCAGAATAAAACACTCAGGATTTCCTGCAAATCATTCTTTTTGAAGAACAAAAAACGTGGAGGTGCCTATTTGCGAAGGGGTCGTGGTTAAAATGTCTGTCCTTCATTTTGCCTCTTTGGACTTCCTCTGACTTCCACCCATTGTCTCAAGATGTTTTGTGACAAGAACTTAAACAAAATGTTAAGGCTTCTGTGTGTCCAGACTGCAACTAGAGCCATACGCCAACAGAAACAGAAGCATTTTCCCATGTACTGGATAAACTTTCTCATTTATTGAATGAGGCAGTTCAATGATTGTGGTTTTGATTGTGTCACTTATCTGCATGAACATTGAAAGACACAATTTCCTAATCTAGATACATTTATACCTATATTAATGGATTAGAAGATTAGATTTTACCTGGCGTGCCAAAACCGCTGAGGTTGTGTGGGGCCGTAATGTGAAATAACAGATTAATAACAGGAGCACCTGGAGCCTCTGTGCTGTGGAAAGCCGTGCTTCAAGTTTCACTTTAGCTTAAGGGGCATACAGGGGTAGAATGTCTTTATACCAAAATTATTGCAACCTAAGCCAATTAAAATAGACTTTATCTTTGTTAAAGAGAAATCGCTTATTGGTCTAGGGATCTCATTCATTTGTTGCTGCTGTGTGGCAGAGTAGTTTGCTCGCTAGTTCATATTTCTTTTGAGGCGAGCTGTCTTTAGTGTTTAATCTGGCCGTTCCCTCCAGCTCATTTATTATATCATTATGAACTGACAGCCATTCATTTTCTCACGGGTGGCTCCCATCCAAAGTGTGAGCTATACTATAACACAGCACACCGGTGTGTTGGTAATATACTATTAGTATTGTATTGCTATGATTACATTTTAGTGATACTGCTACAACTATGATAATTTCCGCTATCATCCTACTTGGGTGTTTGAGCGCACCTGTTTGAGGCACCAGTTAAAAGTTAAAAGAAAATAAACTTTGTATAATAGAATGCAGAGAAATACAAGCTGTTGGTTTTCATGTTGTAAACTACACAAAACCAAAATGTTTAATATTTGAAGGGCTCACTAAAATCTTAACCCTAATTCCTTTTACAAAGCCTGCCCCAACCTTTAATCTTTATTTAAGGAATCACAAATTGCTCCAAAAAGTGAATAATTCTCTGTTATGAGATAAAATACCAAAATTCTTGTAAGACCCTGAGCATGCTGCTTACTAAAGCTGTTAGTTCAAGCTTTTTACCAATCTGTATTGACGTCAATACATCACTTTCAAAATACTAAGTCAAAATAAGTCCATATATTCTTGAATTCCTCTTGGTTTTCTTCCATATAGGTGAGGGAACTCTAGTTGGAGGGGATTCTGTGCTGGTGTACACTGTACAACTATGTTTCTTCATCTTCAAGTCATTTTAGATCAACAGTGTTGGGCTTTAGACCCTGGCAGAGATATTGCATGACCATCAACGTAAGCAGTAGAGGAAATTAACTAGAAATTATAAAAGTGAAATCCCAATGCGGTCTAAACCCTGGTGGTGGTGGAAGCTGAAGTGGTGAGCCAACATGAGGAGAGATTTCCACACTGTTGAAGTGGTGATGGGAGAAGGAGGGTTGCTGCACGAGCAAAGGCTAAATGAAAAGCTGTGAGCTGTTTAAATGCTGCCAGTGAAGCTGTTGGCTGATTATCACAGGTACAGGCTTCACTTTACACCTTCACTTTAGCATTTTTGAAGCTTTTCTCACCTCTTATCTAAAGTTCAATGTGGCTTTTTATCCATCTGCGTATGTTTACATGCAGCGTCCTCGTGCACGCTCTGCTCATGGCCTATATCTCCTGCACGTGCACACAGGGACTGCCTTCAAACAGCTGTTGCTGATTTACATTTTTGTCAAGCGTTTTTGAAAACCATGGAGACCGGAGAAATAGAGGTGAACGGTCCAGTGAACTCTGCTGCTTTGTGCCTGTGTGGGTTTAACACGGCTCTGGGTCAGACTAAGGCCCTACTTTTACTCATTTTGACTGAATTTTTAATGCTAATACAACGCTTTAACTTTACTGTCCAGTCTGAGCCCAACACTGGTGAGGTGTGTTTTAGGGTCACTTGTTGAACTTTAGACTGTGACTGGACAATGTACTTGAAACTACATTTCTAGGTATACTGTCTTTTTTCCTCTTTTTGGGTTAAGCATTAGTTTTCACTTACAATTTAATTCTGGTTCATCTATTAGTGCAGTTGATTTGTTTTTTTATTTAATAACCAAGTGCAGTTTAGCTTATCAACTACCATTGTGAATCTTTGTGATATTTATTTTTTGTGTAGACTGCTCAATTTGGGAATTAAACCTATATTAGACCTATGGATTCTTTTACTATTATTACTATTTAAAAACTGACATCTAGATGAATCATCATTCATCAAGAATGCTAATATACTGAAGCAAAGGTTGTTATATTTTGTTTACAGTAAATATCTTTATAACCTAATTTGACCGTAACCCCTGAGGTTATAAATCGAATTACAAAGCAGGCTTCTCAAGATACAATATTTTATACAATCCGAGGCTATTTTGCAAAAACACCCATGTTTTCAGCCATTTATTACATTATTGCACCTGCTGGTTGTAATCTTATTCATTCATGCATTCCTATGAGTCACTGGTGTTGCTGACCTCTGGGTGGGGTGGCACAATGACATTAAGTGCACTCCTATATCTGCACTATCATTTATTATGCTGCATTCCAGTCACAATAAACACGGAATGCAAGTTAACACAAGATTAGACACACGTCAGCAGAACTATGACTATGACTGAATAAATACATTTTCCACGAATCCCTTTTAAAAATGGATTTTCACCAATGCTATTTTAATGGGTCTCTTTGTGTTGCAGGAGATATGCTAAGAATAAACCTGGCACATCCGCAATAATATAGTTTATCTCATGAGGCCGTTCCATTGAAGTGTAGGATCTTGTCACTTCCTCAGCTCAAGATACAGGCCCTTCCTGACAGGAGGCCTGAACCCGTGCTAGACAATACGACGGTTGGAACTTAAGTTGCATTCTTAGGACACTTACTTTGTCACAGGATATTTCTAGAATATGATGAACAAATATGTTTTATATGGAAAGGAGTGTGTCAAATCGGAACCACTAAATCTGACTGATGTATCTCAAACTACAAAGTGCTTGTGTGAGTAACTTCCACACAACATGTTCCCAATCTGCCTGGCTTCTTGATCTTCAGAGAAAGTAGAAACATATCACTGAAAAAACACCTCCAAAATGTTATCTTGGTCATTATGTCATCCAGGAGGGACATTTTCTTTATGTTTTACCCTCATAACATTTTGACTGATGGTGCAAACAAACAAACAAAAACTAACAAACCCAGGCAGTCACGATGCTTCCTCGGCAAAGCAAAGGATGGAGGCAAAAATAAAAGTGGCATTTGGAAGTAGACTTTGCACTCCTCAGTTCAAAGTAAGTTTTATAGGAGTCACTGGAGCCACCCTGTCTGTTCACTGGGACACAGAATTTACAACTTTCAAGTGATAATGGGAGTTCCCAAAAGTATTAGTACAGCATTAGTACAGATCTTTGTCATTTTTTCTTTTTTATCTTTGCCCTCCTCTGCCTTATTGTCTCTGGCTGTTGGTAATCAAACACCAGTTATGTCATATTAGAACAACTTCCCCAATCTTTACTGTTTGCTGGAATTTTTAAAACAAATTACACCAAACCAAAGTGTTATTATAAGATCTACAAACTGCTTTTTGTAATTGCAGTCAGTAGCTACAGGTCAAAGATAATACACCTTTAAGCAATCTTTTTAAACTAAAGCCCTGATTTAATGTCTCTTTCTATAGTGCTGGTTATGATTCCGAGCTGTCTGTGCCTTATACTGTAACTGTGTCTGCCTGAAATGAACATCACTGCCCTTTGTGACATATGCAGGCAAACAATTCAATTTGTTTTTGATCATATTCAGTTATTCATTTATTACTTCCATTGTGCAGGTATTTGCCAATCTTCTTAGCCTTTGTTCAAATCTTAATGCAAACTTTATGCTAACTATGTTTGTTCCAAATTCAATTGCCTGGAAGACGGAAAGCGTTGGCAACCACTTCCTGTATACTTTAACACCAGTTGTTAATGTTTCACCCTTAATTAAATACAAGAATACAAGGCGTCCTGGGAGGTATGTCCCAAGAGAGGCCAAAAGAAGCAATACTTTAGTCCTGTTTATTATGCTCCATATAACATTGATGACTTGTAACTAGTAGCACTTGTGACGTTGCTATCGACTCCAAGATTGTTGTGATAACATTTTGGCAAGACTCAAAAGAAAGGGAAAGTAGAGACGGGCCAATATAGACTTGTGAAAACCCATTCATTTTACACATTCATAAATACAGCTTATAATTGACTTCATGGTAGACCTCCATGGCCTAGTTTTTGTGTTTTGCGGTGTAGTGTTTACTTGCTGCGGATTCGAGATGTCTAGCCAAGTTATAATTTTAAATCGTCAAGTTTACTCTGAGCATAAAGCCTGGGGTAACGGCTATAAATTCAGAGAGGTGATTATGAACTGAAACATGCTAAGACATTTCCAAACGCAACTCGAAGGGCTCAAATAACCGGCGTGTTGGCCCGATCAAGGACAACTCGCCCCCGAAGGGAATGTCTTTTTTCTTAATAACAGGAGTTTTCCCATGGTCGTCTTAGCAGCAGACGAGCCTCTTATCCTTTTTAATGTCACACTGAGCTCTTTCTGTCTTCAGACCATGGCGATAAGCGCTAGTCTAAAGTGGAGACAAACCACAGCCTTTTTAATTTGGTTGTGTAGAAATGACTGTCGAGAATTTACTGGATATGTAGAGAGAATCTTGATTTGAAAAACTTTAGAAATAAGTTAAGCGCGCTGTTGTTTGTGTGACAAATGGTGTTTACATATTATATTTAACCTTACAGACATTATTTTATTTTTGTGTAGTAAAAGCCTTAAAATAAAAATAAAAGTTGAAATGTTTAGTGATATAACTACAAATATTGACCAAGATAACAGACAAATACCGGATTTTAATATTGATATTGAAGGGGTAACGAACCATCTCATCATTATCTGAACACTTTTTTATTTTTAAGTCATATTTCTGTCAATGAATGTAAAGTAAAGTGATGTGCTGAATACAACTTCATAATGTTTAAACATGTGTTGGTGACCCACAGGTCTTTTGAAATGTGTGAATGCAAATCCAATGGATACCCTCCACACTTTGGCCATGCATGAACTCACAGGTCAGGGGAGAGGTTGAAAGCTGTTCTCCAGGTAGGACGTATCCTGGAGCCAAATAGTTGTAAATATTCAAAAAAAGTGACAGTGCCGCTATATTGGTGCCACGCTATACAGTCCATCACTTTTGTGCAAATTATTGTGCTTTTTTGATACCAGCGACTAGGAATGTAGGTTTTAGAAGTTAGAATTTTGCAGCAGTGAAAAGCAAATCATTTTAGTTGGCAATTGTTTAATTTCAGACACATTGCCCTACTTTGAATGTGATAATGAAATGGTTGATAAACAGAAGCCTTTTTGTTGTTATCCCGCGCTTCTGCTTGGTAGACATCTATGGAAATACCTGAGATTCCAGGCATGACACAGTACCTATTATTATGCAGCCGGTGCATTCTCTGTCCTTTGGAGCTACACTGCAACACTAAACATGTTGTTTTTCCTTCTCACAAAAATTCAAGTACTGTTTGATTTACTTGGAGGTGGAGCAGGAAGCACCTGAGCCCAGTTAAGTCCAAACATGAGCCCATTCATGTTTGTGTGAATACCAGTCCCTTGATTACAATGGTCAATACTCCCTTTCCCTGGACTTCCTACTTCGAGTGGCTTTTTGCGGACGTCCCATTGTTTCTTCAAACTCAAAGTCTAGATCTCTGCGAACCGAGTAAAGCCAATGGAGCAGTTAATTACAAGTTCATTGGAGGACATTGGATGAACTTTCCATGATAACTGTTTAAAGTATGATCATCATCTTGTGGACCCCCCATCTGCAGGAGGATCAGCGAGGGACTGGTGCAGCGAGAGGACTAATATATATATATATATATATATATATATATATATATATATATATTATATATAATTTATTGATTGACTGCGGAACCTTCCGCAGTCAACCATTGGTTTTGTATTTCTTTATTCCGTCATTTTTTTTGACACGTTTCACAGCTTTCACATTTTCAACAATTTCCACAAGTTATACATCAAAACGTTCCACATGTTTGGGAGATTATTGCTATTACTTTTGGGACTTCAGCGATTTCCGGTTTTTCCGCAATCGGACAAAAATCTGCATTGAGAATTCTGCAATGCATTTTAATAGGCCCATGCATTTTAATAGGACTTCAGCTCTTTCAGACATTTCTACAGTTTCAATGATTCAACAGTTTCAAGGATTCAACAGTTTCAAGGATTTCAGCCAAGTTTCAAGATTTCAAGAGTTTCAAGGACTTCAACAGTTTCAAGGACTTCAGCAGTTTCAAGGACTTCAGCAGTTTCAAGGACTTCAGCAGTTTCAAGGACTTCAGTGTAATCATGCAACCTAATAGGGATTTTTCCATGTAAACCAGTATAATGCAACTTAATAGGGATTTTTCCATGTAAACCAGTATAATGCAACTTAATAGGGTTTTTTCATGTAAACCAGTATAATGCAACTTAAACCCCCCCCCCCCCCCCCCCCCCCCCCCCCCCCCCCCCCCCCCCCCCCCCCCCCCCCCCCCCCACCCCCCCCCCCCCCCCCCCCCCCCCCCCCCCCCCCCCCCCCCCCCCCCCCCCCCCCCCCCCCCCCCCCCCCCCCCCCCCCCCCCCCCCCCCCCCCCCCCCCCCCCCCCCCCCCCCCCCCCCCCCCCCCCCCCCCCCCCCCCCCCCCCCCCCCCCCCCCCCCCCCCCCCCCCCCCCCCCCCCCCCCCCCCCCCCCCCCCCCCCCCCCCCCCCCCCCCCCCCCCCCCCCCCCCCCCCCCCCCCCCCCCCCCCCCCCCCCCCCCCCCCCCCCCCCCCCCCCCCCCCCCCCCCCCCCCCCCCCCCCCCCCCCCCCCCCCCCCCCCCCCCCCCCCCCCCCCCCCCCCCCCCCCCCCCCCCCCCCCCCCCCCCCCCCCCCCCCCCCCCCCCCCCCCCCCCCCCCCCCCCCCCCCCCCCCCCCCCCCCCCCCCCCCCCCCCCCCCCCCCCCCCCCCCCCCCCCCCCCCCCCCCCCCCCCCCCCCCCCCCCCCCCCCCCCCCCCCCCCCCCCCCCCCCCCCCCCCCCCCCCCCCCCCCCCCCCCCCCCCCCCCCCCCCCCCCCCCCCCCCCCCCCCCCCCCCCCCCCCCCCCCCCCCCCCCCCCCCCCCCCCCCCCCCCCCCCCCCCCCCCCCCCCCCCCCCCCCCCCCCCCCCCCCCCCCCCCCCCCCCCCCCCCCCCCCCCCCCCCCCCCCCCCCCCCCCCCCCCCCCCCCCCCCCCCCCCCCCCCCCCCCCCCCCCCCCCCCCCCCCCCCCCCCCCCCCCCCCCCCCCCCCCCCCCCCCCCCCCCCCCCCCCCCCCCCCCCCCCCCCCCCCCCCCCCCCCCCCCCCCCCCCCCCCCCCCCCCCCCCCCCCCCCCCCCCCCCCCCCCCCCCCCCCCCCCCCCCCCCCCCCCCCCCCCCCCCCCCCCCCCCCCCCCCCCCCCCCCCCCCCCCCCCCCCCCCCCCCCCCCCCCCCCCCCCCCCCCCCCCCCCCCCCCCCCCCCCCCCCCCCCCCCCCCCCCCCCCCCCCCCCCCCCCCCCCCCCCCCCCCCCCCCCCCCCCCCCCCCCCCCCCCCCCCCCCCCCCCCCCCCCCCCCCCCCCCCCCCCCCCCCCCCCCCCCCCCCCCCCCCCCCCCCCCCCCCCCCCCCCCCCCCCCCCCCCCCCCCCCCCCCCCCCCCCCCCCCCCCCCCCCCCCCCCCCCCCCCCCCCCCCCCCCCCCCCCCCCCCCCCCCCCCCCCCCCCCCCCCCCCCCCCCCCCCCCCCCCCCCCCCCCCCCCCCCCCCCCCCCCCCCCCCCCCCCCCCCCCCCCCCCCCCCCCCCCCCCCCCCCCCCCCCCCCCCCCCCCCCCCCCCCCCCCCCCCCCCCCCCCCCCCCCCCCCCCCCCCCCCCCCCCCCCCCCCCCCCCCCACCCCACCCCTCCCTCACCCCGGTCCACCACCACTCGTATAAAAATTACGGGGGAGCACCCCACACTCTGCGCCCATCCTTGTTCAATAAGCCAATGTAAACCCGATCTCCAAGCCCCTTAATACGGAGGATATATATACCATTTACCCCCCGTCACAATCAACATCAACTGTTATATAATATACAAGAACCCCCGGATAATCATGCCACTACCACATTGAAATAATATCGCATGTAAACCAGTACAATGCAACTTAATAGGGATTTTTCCATGTAAACCAGTATAATGCAACTTAATGGGGATTTTTCCATGTAAACCAGTATAATGCAACTTAATGGGGATTTTTCCATGTAAACCAGTATTATGCAACTTAATAGGGATTTTTCCATGTAAACCAGTATAATGCAACTTAATAGGGATTTTTCCATGTAAACCAGTATAATGCAACTTAATGGGGATTTTTCCATGTAAACCAGTATTATGCAACTTAATAGGGATTTTTCCATGTAAACCAGTATAATGCAACTTAATAGGGTTTTTTCCATGTAAACCAGTATAATGCAACTTAATAGGGTTTTTACATGTAAACCAGTATAATGCAACTTAATAGGGGTTTTTACATGTAAACCAGTATAATGCAACTTAATAGGGGTTTTTACATGTAAACCAGTATAATGCAACTTAATAGGGATTTTTACATGTAAACCAGTATAATGCAACCTAATAGGGGTTTTTACATGTAAACCAGTATAATGCAACTTAATAGGGATTTTTCCATGTAAACCAGTATAATGCAACTTAATAGGGATTTTTCCATGTAAACCAGTATAATGCAACTTAATAGGGATTTTTCCATGTAAACCAGTATAATGCAACTTAATAGGGATTTTTCCATGTAAACCAGTATAATGCAACTTAATAGGGATTTTTCCATGTAAACCAGTATAATGCAACTTAATAGGGATTTTTCCATGTAAACCAGTATAATGCAACTTAATAGGGATTTTTCCATGTAAACCAGTATAATGCAACTTAATAGGGTTTTTTACATGTAAACCAGTATAATGCAACTTAATAGGGTTTTTTCCATGTAAACCAGTATAATGCAACTTAATAGGGATTTTTCCATGTAAACCAGTATAATGCAACTTAATAGGGATTTTTCCATGTAAACCAGTATAATGCAACTTAATAGGGATTTTTCCATGTAAACCAGTATAATGCAACTTAATAGGGATTTTTCCATGTAAACCAGTATAATGCAACTTAATAGGGTTTTTTCCATGTAAACCAGTATAATGCAACTTAATAGGGTTTTTTCCATGTAAACCAGTATAAAGGATAACAGTTTTAAAGGATATCAGGAGCTTCAAATACTTCAGGAGTTTCAAAGATGTTTAAAGTATTTTAACAGTTTCAAGGATTTCAAGGATTTTTCAGCTAAATTCCACATTAGATCTGTTCCGCAGTCAATCGCAATGGGCTTTCAGCCATTGCAGATTTCTAGTGATAATTTATCATTGTTCAAATTATTGTACAAGAATTGTCCTCAGTTTCCCATCCTGCCCTAGACCTCCACACCCTAAAGAAAACATTAAGTATTAGTGCCATTGCCCAAGGACACAATAGTTGCAATGCAAGAATCCCCCGCCCCCCCCCCGACTCACCGGAAACCTGAAGTTACTGAAACAAAACACAAATTTGTGGGACTAGGATAAGCAATAATGGTCTAAAAGTTCTGATTTATTCGTAGGATCTTCTGAACTGATAACATTTAAAATAATAACAGGTGGAAACTATGACTTGAAGTAAGAAATCCAGGTGTCCGTCAGTCGGGTCTAGCGCTGTGCAATTGATGAGCGCCCCGGTCGTCACTTTCCCTTGTCTGACACCTATCAGGGCACAAAGCAGGTCATAACTCACTGCGCGGCCCTGTATCCGAGAGGCTTCCGGCCAGAGGCAATCAGGACAAACAATCCTATTTCCGATCTATATATAGCCGCCTTCTCCGATTACTGGGTTATTGCAAGATGGCCCCATTAGCCACATGTCACGTCAGCATTGTTTCAGGTGCAGATGCCGTCCTGCTCACCACCTGTGTCTTTGAAATCTATCAGAGGCGAGCATGAACGGGCAAACATATGGTGATAACCTCAGGCTCCTCTCCAGTGGCCTGGTTATAGCTTCCCTATGCATCCGCTTCTTTGGGCCCTGAACTTGGCCAGTCTTTTATTCTGGATACGTACAGCTGTTCAAGCACAATGGGATGGGCCACCTGACTTGATAACGGTAGATGGCAGTAGTCTGGGCTCGACAAATGTAGTTCAGATACTCTGAAATCATGTATTGAAACTAAATTAAACTCCTCAAGTTTGTCAGATTTTTGTAGATTTGTCTTGATCTAAATAAACAAATTTATAAGAACGTTGACATATTCAATTGCGCTTAAAAGTTTACACGGCCAGTCAGAGATATCTTGGTTTTTGGCCATATTTTAGATAATTGTGAGAGATAACACAAAGGCATACACTCATTTTGAGTGGGTGTGTGAAGCTGTATACATCAAATAAACAAGTTTTATTATTTCAAATTGTAACAAGCAATGAGCCTTTGGGGGAGACCGAAAATGTGCATTTCATGCTAGGCTTCCTCAAAATTTACTGGAACTAGAGCTTTTTTTTTCCCCAAGAAAATGTGGCATTTACATCGAAAGTGATACTAGAAACCTCATCCACAACTACCCAAAAAATACCCCGAGCTGTCATACTGTAATTGTATAAAAGGGGCAATACACCACTTGAGACATTTTGAGAAACACTGGAGGATGAAACTTCTAATCAGTCATGGAGCATTTCAGTTGTCATTATTGCTTTGAAATGGAAAGAAAACATGTCCAAATTGGATAATATCTAGCTTTACAAAACCATGATATTTCTAGCTTGGATGTGGTCAACTTTCAAGAACAACTGTTAAACATTTACTTTTATTGGTAATCTTCCATCTTCACATGAGAAGTCAATTCAAAACTAAAAGTGCCCTGTATGTGTCCTAAGTTCAATAAAAAAAAAAAAATTGAAGTAATCAATTAGCAGAGTCAATATGAAAAGTCATTGCACTCATCATTTCTATCGGCTGTGGAGAAGATGAAAGGACATTACATGTTGACTGGTAATGTGACAACCAGCCTATATCCTGTGCGTGATGCCGTGGAGTCTCATGTCTCCTGCAGAGGTGGAGGAGAGCGGAATGAATGCGTCACGATCGCCAGTTGATAGTCCATCACCGGGCGGATTCTCATTTCCTGTGGCCTGAACCTGCCCGGGTTATTGTTACCAGTAGAGATGCGCTATCCACACAGAACATGCAGCCCCACTGGTACTATCCAGCACGCTCACTTAGATCATGCACTTTGTATCTGATGGGGCTCAAAAGGGCTTTACACTGTTTTTGATAGGCACTTGCTTTATCTCTGTATCTTTGTTGAGTGTTGAGATCGACACATATGGCAAAGTCCATGACATACAGAAACAGGATCGCCGAACGTATTACAGCCTGGTGCAATATAGGAACAGGGATATAGATTATCACAGCAAATTGAATGTTATGGCTTTTGGGCATTCTCTGCCCCATTAGTCCGGGGGGAAGAATAAAATGACAGGAGGAAGTGGCATCGGAGAACACCAGCGATAACTATATTAGCAAGTGCAAACCATAGTGGGGTGAATGTAGATTTAATAGGCCTATGGGTTATGGGTAAATTATTTGTATGAAAGGCAAAAAACAAACAAATACTTGGTGGAGGTACAGTGGTTCAGTCGTAATAATACATATTTTTACTCACTTTCTTAATCACTCACATATGAATCAGCAAGCAATTCAGTGGGCTTGATGATTGGGGTTTCAACATTGAGTACCTTGTTATTTTATGGTTTTTGATTAATATGGGGGAGGATCCATAATCTCATGAAATTGTTATTAGCCCTCCCGGCTTCTACAGTAGATAAGCCAATGTTTTCTTTTTCCCTCCATTGAATAATGCTTTACATTGTTTGGATGATTTTCATTTTGTGTACCATGAACCATGGTGAAGGTAATGGGAAAATGGAACAAATTTAATGTGAGCTTTGCGACTTGACCTTGTCCTGTAAGACCGTCCACGCCCCATTGGTTTTTACCACCACCAGAGAATACCACAGTGGAGTCAATAGCTCCTCACTGAATGCACAACTCGGGAGCACTGTTGTGTGTTGCAGAGTCAAATCCTTTATTTTGGTTGAAATCATTCTTTTCTCTCATTGCCTAGTATTAACATCAGTGCAAATAATATCACAGCCGTAAAACCCAAAGCCATCTGTGTGCCACGGCCTCGACTCCCATAACAACATGCTTGATTTTTGTTGTTGTTTTTTATGCATTTCTGAACTAATTAATGTGATCCCTGGAACGACAAAGGAGTTTAAACTAATATTGATGTTTAGCCATATGATTACGCTTGGAATTTGGGGCATTCAGGTGTTTTCCGGCATAACCAGATAACAGATTGCGTCTTTTTTGTTTTTTAGTACATTCTTTTCATCATGGCCCACAGGATCCGTGACCTGTGGGAAAACTTTGCTTTCATGCTTATCGGGTAAATGAAAGCAGTGTTTATGTTGATGTATATTAAAATAATATCTAGTCAAATGGAAAACTAGTCGTACTTGCAGCCAATAATAGAGCAATATTGTAAAAATCTGGACATAAGTGGTACTCAATCATGGTCAGAGAATCTGTAGTTCCTCTCCCACTCTCCCTGACTCTAGTTGCCAGATATGCAACCAAACCAATAGCTGAATAGACAAGGATTTTGTCAACAACAAATCGTATAACCAACACTTTATCTTACAAAGACATCCGCCGTTTTTTTATTACTTCGGCCCATCTTACTGTACCCGTGAGAGTTAACTCAACCGCAGTAGTTCTGGCAACCTGGCACATACTAACAGATGGGTAAAATGGTGGTGTTTATCATTAAAGAAGTATCGAAAAGAGCAGATTAATCATGCCTTTTGACATATAGGGCCATTCTATGATGAATTGACTATGTCATCCATCCATCCATCCATTTTCATTACCCTTTAATCCATTTCTGGGTCAGGGGGTGGCTATCAGAGATGCACCCAAGTCTCATAGCACCACCCCATCTCGGACACCTACTGGCAATGGTGGATGAGTCCTACAGAAGACGGAGATCTTCCAGCGGGGGCTTTGGGCAAAGTGGTGTTATAGGGGCCCGTGCCCAAGGAACACATACTAACTGCAGTCATCAGTGGTAGTCGTGGTGAAAAAAATTTGGGAACCCACGTCCGTCTAGGCCGGTAAGGCCAATGCTCTACCAACCTGAGCTACTGTCCGCCCCCTGGCTCTTGCAATGTCTGTCTTAGTGCTTACTGTAAGACCCAGTGTGAATAATGAGGTTGGACATGAGTTTAACAGTCAAAATCACGTGTACTGTAAATTGTACGCTTGCTCCGAGGAGCTTTGCATTGGTGGATATGTAGAATGCCACGCCAATGTTCTTCAAGGCCGTGCTGATTAAGAGAACTGAGATGTAGAAAGGGGAGCAAGGAGGGTGCCAGGGGGGTAAAATGTGGGATAGTCGCTGGAACATCACCTCTTTTCACATCTAGACGGCTAGTCCCCAGACACATGTGCTTTTTGTCATCTGCATCATGGATCGTCCAAGTGTTGTCCTTATGTATTGTATCCTTATTGATTGGTAGTCGCTCATTTGAATAAGATGAGATGTAGAAACTGAATGAATGCTCTCTTACTCGACTCTCATGTATTAGCTGTCTGTCATCCTACGTTAAATATCCTTTTCATAGTATTGTCCATGTTCGCTTTTTTGATTCTTTGCAAACATATGTGGCAAGCAGTACAGCTGCAGACACTAGTGGGTCCTTCTCATGAAGGTGGAGGATTGCTTGGTTGTGTGTCAATGGATGCAAAATAAGGAAACAGCCGGATATCTAACAAAACAGAGCCGGGGCCACATTTGGGTTGTAGGAATTGCTGTGGTGTGTAAATTCTAATCGTGTGGCTGTATCTTTTATTAGTTTGCAGATAGTAGTGTGTTATTAGATAGAAAGTTACCGGTTATTCAAAAATTGTTGGGCGTCTTGCGGCCAGAAAAGCTATACTAATCCATTGGCTTTGATTTCTGGATATTGGTTCGTCATGGCTTGTTGTTTCTGGTGTTTGGAGTGGTCATACTATCGTCTGAAGCATCGAGCCATTGCTTGGCCATATCATTTATGATCGCATAGTCTCACACGTAACATGTATATCTTTAGGTACTAGGAGCGTATGGTGTAGATCAGTAATGACGGCTGTTTATATGTGTGGACTGATCCAGGAGTCGAAGGCGCTCAATACTCGCTCTCTGGCGTTCAGTGCTGCGAGGTCAGTGTAACACTGGCGCCATGCTTTATGGCCCGCACTATAATATCGGAGTCTGTGCCGAGCGCCCGGGGGGGGGCCTCACCACGGGGGGGGAGTGGGGGTGGGGGGGAAACCCGGGGGGCAAGGGACAACACCACACTGGGGGGGGGGGCGGTATGAGTCTTACATCATGCCTTAGTCTCCCAAACAGATCCTATTATGATATAATTGCCCTTACTGGATTGCATGACGGCGGGGTGTATTCTGGTGAAGGATGTGGTCTTGGTCTTTGTATTAGGTCTGGTACTGTTTGTATACAAGAGATCATTAGGCCTTTCGAATTTTTCTTGGGCAACAAAGGCTGCACAGTTTTGCACCTGAATGTTGGTGCCGTGTCTTTTCTGGTCGGTGGTGTTCCCAAGCAAGGACGTATGCGATATGCACGGTCTCCGTTACTTTGTGGACTCATCCCTGTTCACACAGATGGCCCTCCTCTCCCATAGATGGTGCCCTGACTTAGGAGATTGACCTTTTATGTCTATATACTGCCATCTTCCAGCCTACTGCTGCGGGTCTGACGGCCACCCAACTGCCTGTTAGCCCTCCGTACCGCGGTGTATTCGATGCTACCACTGGAGCTCCGTCAATGCGCAGGCTGTCTCCTTGGTTGAGATTAACATGACTCTTGCACGCAGCTTGGTTCGGCTGATCATGGAGCTGCTTGGCTTTTAGTTCCTGTGGGTTGGTCCGACAGGAGATAATTATGTGAGTCCATCATTGTTCTGTGAATCAGTCCTGACATCCCACCCGTCCCACATGGTTCCCCTCCAGACCTTATAAGGGATAAAAAGGGACGGTACCCTGAGCACTCTCAGTGCCATTTCCTAAACCCAACTGACGTTTACCTAGGTACTATAGGCTGGCCTGGTATTGTCTTTTGTTTGTTTTGAAAGTAGTGTACTTAGAATCCCGGGGCTATCGCTGTTTGCTCTTGAGACCAGAGGAGTGCCCTTACAGCAAGAAGGGCCACTCAGACTTGTTCATCAGACTTTACCTGGGGGCGACAAACGAGATGTAATTAATCTGGATGCTCAAGCTGGAGTGACCTGGAGGATGGAATTGAAAAGGATTTATGAGATGGTCCTTATGGGTTTACACTCCTCTGCGGATTGTTATTGTGGAAATGTTGTGTACAAGAAAGGTCCAACGACTGGATTCCCAAAGAGGTCTGAATTTTACAACATGGTAGATTCGCGTGACTATATATGGTGGAAGCGGTAGTTGGGTTGGATGACACCTGCCAAAGTTCCCCTCTATTGGCATTTTGTGTTTAGCAGGCAGAATGCCCTCTTTTATATGGCCAAGTGGGGGGCCCGCAGTTGGCCCCGCGGGCCTGGTTTGTGGGACATGGGCCTGCCTGTGTCACGTTAACACCAGATGGTCGGGAAGGCCGATGGCTCGCACTTGGTGGTCGCGCTGACTGTCTTGTGTGCCCCAGGGCAGCTGTGGCTACAGTAGTAGTTTGGGCGTATTATTCCTTGCAGGAAGGTGTATGAAATATGACCACCGTTTCGCGGCTCCTTTAATGTGCTAGATATATTATTTTAGGCTTTGTTATATAATGCAGAATATATACTGGAATCCGAATGGGGACGATCACCCTGAGTTGGGTCCTCAATTTTCAGCTTTTTGTTGGGTTTTATTCTTGAAATGTAAGAATTTTAATATGTATATTTATCCTGACTAAATATGAGGTTAATAGTTTTATGATGATGATATGAGAAATGTTTGAGAGAATAATATAGGAGTGACCTTTTAATTTTTAAACAGTCATATTTCCTACAATTTGCATAGCAGTTCTGCATTAACAATGCCCTCCGGCTCAGACACACATGATGCTGTCCCGCGCACACTGCCGCCCAGGGGGTCCTGTACATGATGCCTATAGAGACTTCTATGGCGGGATCCTGCTCCTTTGAGCGCGCTGTGCCCGTCTCACACAAGGTTGGGGCCCAGCCGTCAAACTAAGTGCTTTGCCTCCCTTTCTCATGTCGGGCACATGAATAAACACAGGACACTCCTCTCTGCTGCCCACTGCTGTCTCAGGACAACACCAGGTCAACTAGGCAACATTAGGCATTGCACATGGCCTGAAAAGATTGGACAAAATTAATCATGTTTTCGGGTTGATTTTCTTTTCCTATTAGACCACATTATAGGAAACTTTATTGAGGACACAACCTACATAGCTGTGAAAGTACCAGCTGGCAGCAGCTCAGCAGGAAAAAACTGAAAGCATGATGTATTTTCTGTCACCTTTAGATCTGTATGGACACTCTGATTACAAAAATACTAATTTAATTATTTCAATATTCAAAAACTGTTTGTTATTGATTGTAATCATTAACTGCTCTGTATATAACAGACGCATAGTGGCTTCACTCAAACTTTTTCTGCTTCAATAATTAGATAAGAAATCAGATCTCTTTGTAACGAAGCAACTAATTGATTAATTCAGATGAATTGCTGGATTAATCGATTATAAAGATATTTGCTGGTTGGTCATAGACTTGCTTTGTTCCTGTTGTTTAATGGTGTTCAGTCCTCCATGAACCAACTCAGTCCTTGTGCTTTTTTACTCTTTTGTGAGGGCCATGATTCCAGTAAGCCCCATATGAGATATAATAGAAGTCAGATGTGGAGGCAGGCCTTAGAATGGAAGTAATTGCTAGATGGCGCTGCAACATGTTGATTCCGGTTACATGGCGGGCTGTGAACCCAACACAACATGAAAGCCTCGTCGGAACGTTTGGCCCATATTCCAGATCCCGCTCCAGTCATTAGCTCTCCTCTGCCATCTCCTATACAGCTAAAGACCACAAAACACAGAGGTTACTAATTTAAAGCTTGGTCCTCCTAGATTCTCCTCTGTACAGTAGTCTGGATTTGGTGGGAATCGAGCTGTTTAATCTCTTGTAAGTACTCTTTTATAGGATGCCACGGCGGAAGTGGGTATGCTAGTATTACCCAAGACTGGCCACTTTTGATGTTCATGTTTCTGGATCGGTAAGTGGGCCTCCCTGAAATGAATGGATCTGGTCCACTCCAAGCACAAGAAGATGACTATATTGTGTTTATAATTGTGGACAAGGGCCCCTCAGCATTTTATTGTCTACTCTATTGCCTCCTTTAATTTCACAGCGGTTTGTTTTTGCTCATAGGACGTTGTTTGGGCAATGTTTCGGAGCAAGCAGCTGATTAGAAAGGATAATTATGCACCAAGGACAAACAAAGTGGAAATTATTAAGCTGAAGATATGAAAGCAATTTTTTCATGGGTGAATGTTTTTTTGTTTTGTATCTACGAGACCAAATGTTTATTCTTCATCATTGCTATCACTAAGTCAGTGTGTTTTTTTTATATTTAAAAGGCTCTACAAGTATTCCCATAAGTGTAATTGTCTGCAGATGCCAACTCTAAAGTAACAGTTGTTTATTGTGTGCGAAAGAGCCCCATTGTCTCCTGTGCACTTTGCTTACAGTGCATTATTGTTCCGTTTAATTGGCGGTGGTGCTGTGTATGAAGCCTCTGAAGAGCGTTTGTCTGAATTGAGTCGTGGTGCTCCAGGCAGCTGCAGCAGTTTGTCTGTGTTGTGGCTGACGCAGTGTTAACACACACAGCTCCATGACTGCAGCCTCCGAGGTTCAGAGGAGCTCAGCTGCTTACCCCTCATGCACTCGCTCCTCTCTCACTCCAACCAACTCACTTCACCTTCTTACCCTCTCACCCACTCACTCCACCCACTCACTTATCGAGAGCTCCAGTTGGCCCAAAGATCCCACTGTGTGGGAGCTGGGTCGGACAACAGGGCCTTCCTAACCTTGCCTGCAAGCTGAATTCTCGCGGTATTTGTGAGTTCACAAACACTCGAGAATACATCTTGTACCGCTCCCGCTTACACTTTTCGAGTCGAAACCACTGGGTGTGCGAGCCAATCACGCGCCAGTCTGGGGGTTTAGGGCGGGATTATCCGGGGTTTGACGAAAGCAAGAAGTGCCGGGCCGAAGCAAAACAAACATGGCTACGCAGGAGGACGGACGCAAAGTCAGTTTTAGCAGAATCTCCAATTTCTTTTTTGAAAGATGAACAGCGAGAGGCGCTTTGTACATTTCTGGACGGCAACCTTGGTAGGCGGGCACACAGCGGTCACTTCGCCCAATCAGCTTCAAGTATTCTGCTGCTTACGCCCTCCTTTCCTCCGAAAGGATTCTCCGGGAGAAATCCCAGATTGATATCCGCTGAGAACGCGTTAAGAGTTCTACACAATCATCAATCTGAGTCTTTTGCCAGGTTAGGGCCTTCCAGCACCAGGCTTAATGAGACTGCTAGATCTGTGGTGTACCAGTGCACTGTGGGAAGGACTACACTAGTTTATCATTCCAGATGTATCACTAATTAATTTAGCAATGATTTTGCCATAATTTCGAATCATTCAAAATTATAATTTGTCAATGCTTGTAAAGAGAGTAAAGGGACATTCTCAGTTTGCTGCACTAATTGGTGTTTGACCTGAACAACACACGCTTGCATGCATGTTGCCACGTCCTGGCAAAAATATGTACATGGGGAAATGTTGGGCATATTAAGTGACCTATCCCCAAAAGCTTTGTCTCCACACAAACGCTTCAGCATGTGTACTGTTTCTTCAGTTTTGATGGTCACTGGCATGCTGGCTCTGTATGTTTCGACCGCACTTTGGACAACAGGATTTGGTGTTCTAGTTGGTGGTAGTTTACAGATTCTATTCAAATCAACATTTATCAATAGCATTGTGAGTGTGTTACAATAAAAAAAACCCTTATCATTGGGGCAAACTGATGTAGGACGTAGACAACTAAGCAGGTAACAACTTAAGCGTAGTATGTGAATAAAGGAAATGAGCCCAAAAAGATGTGTTCCATGTCATTCCATGTTCGCATCATCCATACAGGCCTGGCACTGTTCTGTGACTGCTGCATACATCTGCTTACATTTTAAGAGTCCTTTGTGGCCTTATTCCTTCTCCCCGGAGCTCCCTCGGGGTTCAACAAAGGTAATTTTATCTGTTATGGGAACACTTCCCTCTATAAACAATAACTACAGGTGGGCTGGCTCAGTTATATGTCCAAAGAACGAAAGAGACGTTGTTTTTATTGTTTATGAAAAAAACAATTATATATATTATATTGATTTTAATCCTGCACTTATTGTGTTGGTAAATGTAATCCTCCTAAAAGTAAGAGAATGCTGAAGACAACACATGGAGAGAATAGATTTTTGCCTCGTTCAGCAGATCTGATTGACAAAATAAATATACACACGCTTTGCTAAATTATCCTGTATGATTGGCAAAGACACACAGGTGTTATTATTGTGAAATTGTCTCTAAGGATGAACCTCTAGGTGAACCCAGTCCAAACAATACTCACCTTATACAAATCATTTTCATTTATATCATTGTGAATATGGCAATAGTACTATATCTTATGTCTGTGTTTTAAACTTCAATGTTTATTCATGATATAATGGGATCTTGCATATTATCCACCTCACATGTGAATTGGAATATACATATACAGTCTAGAAGAGAGAAGCAACAATTTAGCGCTAATAAGCCTAATCACAGTAACATGATGTTGTTTAAAAGCTAGGACCATATAGTTAATGGGTGACCACACACAGACTTGTTATGAATCATTTTATCCCTGTGGACACACCCATAAACGCATGGTCAGCCTAACCTGAGGATATTTAACAGCTGCAGTGAATAGGGCTTTGAACCCAGAGCTAAACTTTCCTCCATCTGAATTTGAGTACATTTCTTGATGTAGTATAGGATGGAGTGATGCCCAAACAGGTGGGATAGGGCAAGCGCACACACTGCTCCCCGTGCTGTTGGAGACCAGCTGGGTGGGTAGCTTCCTCTGCATCTGCCACAGCCAGTTTTCGTGGTGGCTGGTATGGGTGCCTAAGGAAAACTCCTTAAAGTTTTCATTCATAGTTAAATGAAAATTTTCCACATCGCATGTATTGGGACTGACCAGTACATTCTGGACACTTTAGAAGCAGATTTAGGATCTTCTTGCTAGAGCAATAGGAGACAAAGCACGGCGGCAATTTCGGCTGCAATAACTATCCAGCAATATTTTTATTTGTTGCTACCACACCGACCCCACAATAGAGGCCAAGGCAAGAGGCCAAACTTCCTTAGTCCACATACATCCTCTAACACAAGGGAAACCAGAGTGCTCATCAAGCACAACCTGAAGCCCAGTTAAAAGTGGGCCTGGCCCAAATCGCTTTAGGTGACGTGTGATAGCGCGGCAAGTGGGCTTGGCCTACGGTTCTGCAATCGTGCTTGGCTTAGAGCTATACAAGAATATATTGAATTGAGTTAAACCTATAAGCAGACACACAAATACGACCTATGAAATCAGCCACCGAAGTCTAGACCCATGATGACAGACAACACACAACATACCAAGAGGCTGGGATGCACAGGACGGTCTCATGCTTACACACACATAGTACAAATGCAAAGCTGTACCACACAGGGCACACATGGGAAAGCACCCAACCTCAAAGACGTTCACCATCCCTTGAATAGCCATAATAACTAGTGCTCAGACCAGAACCACTGACTCCGTTAGCAACAGCCTTTGGTTTCCGTTCCGAAAACACAAGACGTCCATCCAAATACATCTTAAATGGGGTCTTTTGTTTACTGTGATATGCCAACATCTTAATACACCCGTACTTCATTTTTTTTTTTTTGTGAGTTGGAATTAGAGCATTATAAATGCAGGCATAGACATATATTGTAAATTAAAAATAGGGTTAGGTATATGCTAATAATATTGTGCCAATACTGTAGTTGCCAGGATGTGATTCAATAGGTCAATAAGTTAAGTATGTTATTACTTGACTTGTTATGCATTGTGAATATGAGGTACTTGTATGCTAAGAATATCGGGTACCATAGGTAATATAACTTGTTCGTGTTTAGGTTTTTGAGGGGGGTCATCGAACCACAGAGCCTGATGGTCGTGGGGTCGAGGCCTCCATGGATTCCGTGCGCCACCGTCTTTCCCTCTGATGACCTGCGGTCCGTTGTGTCCTTGGGCTAAGTCACGTTAACCCCTCGTGGGCCGGTTAAAGTTCCCCGCGGAGATGAGCATGGCCAGGCCCTTATGAGGCTATGCCTTCCTCCTGTGGTCCGCACCGACCGGATGGGTGGTATCTGGGAGGGGCTGGGGGCCGGTGTGGGCCCTGACCTCCTGAAATGATTAATGTGTGATTTAGGACAATTGGTAGGGATGAGTAGTTAGTGTTGAGGCACAGTGTGGGGACTATGAAATTACGGTCTGGTGGTAGGTGTTTGACGTTCACAATTGATGCTTTATAGTAGGTGGTAGTCCAGGGCTTCTCTGATTTGATTGGGTAATGGTCCACCGGTGGGCGTGCAATTTGGCTCAGCTTGCGATACCACATCATTCTTGGTTTTTTACTTATAAAACACTGTCCTCTGTGCGCTACACGTGCTTAGGTCCCGCTTTCTTGGTTGCCGCATAGGGGTTGGTGGCAGAGGGGGTGAATCATTTGGTGCCCACCTACAGCATTTTATTAGGTTCTTCATAAAACTGGATTAGTAATGAATTTACGGGATTACTAAGCCCAAATACTGTCCCCGTGCAGTCGCGGATGGGAACAGATCTTTTGGTTAATATTGTGTTCTCCCGGTATTCCAAGTGTTGATAGGTCTGTCCGCCAATGGGTGGCATCGTCTCGTTTGGGTTATTTGGCAAGCTCAATATTTTATGCTGGGGTGTTTATGTCCTGAGACGTTTGACCGGGATTCAATTGGGGCACTGAATGAGGGTATCCTGGGTGTATAAAGGGGACCTGTGAGCGTGAGAACCCCTGCGCTCGAACAACGCTACCGGTGTACCCCGGCAGCAGGCAAGCGATTAGCAGGCGTTTGCTGTAACCACATCCGTGGGCGTCCTCATGGGAGGCTCTACCACAAACTCACTTACTCAGTAGACCTCAGGTAGATCCACACGTGGCACTCCCTGTCTCTGGGGTATGACTAATTATGGGCTTCTGGGGATAAGCAGTGGCCTGTGCCAGTCTGTCAGACAATGTTTTCCTGGTGTTCTTCAGCGTATGAATCTGCATTTTCCAGACTTGGTAAAGGGTTGCCCCCTCCGCGACCCCAATGTTGGCTCACTGGCTTGGAATTTGGTGTCCGGTGAGAGCAGGTGACATCTCGTGGGTAAAAGGTTGTGTTGGTGTTCTTATTCTTTAGAGATCCGCACCTTTCAATGTCTCATTATTGTGATTAGATGCCTCGATGTTGCGCGTAGGGACGAGCTAATTAAAGAGTTTGCGTAAAGACTGGGGGGCCAACATAATGCTTTATGTATGGGGCCTTTGTTCCTTGCCTTAGATTCAAAATTTTAATGGTGTGTCCACGTCGTCACGACGGCCACTCATCCATCTCGGCTGGTTTTATGTATACTATATCACATAGTGTAGTATCAAATTAGTGATGTAAGATTTAACGCAATAGCACCGCGAACGATGGGGCTAGCCGTGCACGAAATAGGCATCTTGCCACGAGCTGCATTTTTGTTGAATGTTTTATCTATCCAGGAGGTGGCTGTGGCATAGTCTTGTATGGTCTGTTGCGGCGGGGCCGTGCGAAGCTCTTGGCTGTGTAAAGGACTTGCGCTATAGTTGGTTGTGACCTGGGGTTTGAAGGCACTACATAATGAATCAAGAGCGAGCCTGAACAAAGAATGCTTGGGCGGATACGGCATCAGCGCTTGAATGGATGTCAGATGTTCACAAGTCTCGACCCGCACCGTGCGCGCGGCAACCCAGACTGACCCCATCTGATTGGCCGTGCTGCCGCAAAGGGCATGGATATAGATCGTTAGCACTGAGCACTGGCTCTGGTTTCCTTTTCTCGGTCTTTGGATGGGATAGACATGTCATGGGTGGCACATAGTCAGGAGGCCTCTAACTGCGCGACCGTACATGTACATGCTATGTTTTGAGCTGGCTTACAACATGCTGGCTCATTACCACCGGTGCCGAGTGTGTAGTCGGGGTAGGTGATAGTATAGCGTGGTCTGTGGGGGGGTGATCTGGGCATTATGTGGTGCTGGCACATCTGACAGCAGCTTTACTTGAGTGCTGGCCGCTGTGACCATGATGCTGCGTCATTAGGCTGATAGGCCCTATGCTTGGAACTTTTGTCCTCTTCGCTAGTTTGGGGCGGCATTTGGTGATCACGAGGCTCTTCCTCTTTGTGTTTATTTGTGCCTGTCCACATGAGTGTCCTTCGATGCGCAGTGGGAGCAGTTGGAGGCAGGCTGGACGTAATGACCGCTCGGTGCCCTTTTGGGGGCGCGGGCCTCGCTAAAGGAAGAAGGTGAGTGCTTTTTTGGATAGGGTGATATTTGGTATAGGAGAGTTCAACACCTCTTCGATATTGTACAATCCTGTTAATTTGATACGCTAGCGCTTTATAGGCATTCATGTAAGTTGTAGCTGGAGCTCGCTTGGAGTCATACAAAAGTCTCACCACTACCCGCCTGGCATGAGCTGCTTTTCTTGCTTTTATTAGAGCCCTACAGCAATGCTTAATCACGTTCATAACAGAGATACAGCACATCATTCAAAGCGAGTACACACATTAAGAGTTTAAACCTTCAATCTCACGCAGTTTGGTCTGGCAAAGTTTGTTATTCAAGTGTAAACCTAATCAATCAATAATATTACTCATCCACATATAAATTGAATCTTCAATCTTGTTTTGTAAAGTCCTCGCGAGATCACACTGTTAAATTAAATAAAAGATAAATGGAATTTGTATACTGTCAACAACTTCAACTGAATTGATTTTGTTAATAAGGCATTTTTTAACAGGTAAGATTAGGTCAGGCTAGCTGGTTCATGCACCCCACCAAAAAATGCTCAGGAGATAGAATTCCAATGTTTTCAGCCAAGTTTGCTTATGGGATTAGTGGGAAGGTTATTTTTTTTTCCCTCCTGATTGGACATACAGCCTCTTGGCTACTTCCTGGTGCATTTACCATTGCTGAACAGGCTGTTTTTTTTGGGGGTCCATGCACCAGCGCATTGATCTCATTGACCTCACCTGGCCCCGCAAGAACACTGCCTAGATGAGAACTCGTACTAATGGCTGTCCAGAACTGTTTCAGACAATCTCCATGGCAACCTGAGACATGGAATTAATCCTTTAATATATTCAAGAATCCCCCCCCCAACACACGCCCTCCTCCTCGTACCCCCCCTCCCGCGCTTCCCCCCCGCCACCTTCCCACCCCCCGCCCGCACCCCTCCCCCCCCCCCCCCCCCCCCCCCCCCTCCGATCCCCCCCCCCCCCCCACCCCCCTCCGCAACTCCCCCCCACCCCACCCCCCAACCCCCTCCCCCCCCCCCTCCCCCCCACCCTCCCCCCCCCCCACCGCGATCCCGCCAATTCCACCCACGACAACCCTCCCCTCCATCCCCCCTCCCCCCCCCCCTCTCCTCGCCGCCACCCCTCCCCACCCCGCCCTCCCGCCCCCCCGCACCCCCCCCCACCCCGCCCCCCCTCTCCCTGCCTAACCCCACCCCACCTTCCTCCCCCCTCCTCACCCTCCCCCTCTCGCCCTCCCCCCGCCCTCACCCTCCCCCACTCAAAGCCCGCCCGCCCCCATCGCCCCGCTCCCCCCCCCCGTCCTTCTCCCCCCTCCCCCTCCCTCACCCCCCGCCCTCACCACAGCCCCCCCTTCGCCCTTCTCCTCCCCCCCCCCCACCACACCCCCCCCCCCCCGCGGCCCCATACCCCTCTCCCCCAACCCCCATCCCCTCCCCCCCCCCCCTCCCCCCCCCAACCCCCCCCCCCCCCCCCCAATTCCGCCCCCCTCCCCCCCCCCCCCCCCCGCTCCCCCCCCGCACACCACCCCCCCCCCCCCGCGCCCCTACCTCCCTCCCCCCCCCACCGCCCCCCCCCCCTCCCCCACCCTCCCGCCTCCCCCCCCCACCCCCACCCCTCCCACTCCCCTCACCCCCCTACACCCCCCCCCCCTCCCCCGTCCATACCCTCACCCCCTCCCCCCCCCCCCCCCTCCCGCCCCGCCCCCCCCCACTCCCCCCCTTCTGCCCCCGCCCCACCCGCTCCCCCCCCCCCCGCCCCCCCCTTCCCCACACCACGCCCCCCCCCCCCGTGTCCCCCCACCCGCACTACCACCCACCCTCCTCTCCCCGCCCCCCCCCCCCCCCCCACCCCCCCCCCCCCCTCCCCCCCGCCCCCCCCCTCCCCCCCTCCCCCCCCCCGCCCACCCACCCCCCCCGCCCCACCCCCCGCCCCCACAACCCCCCCCCAACCCCCCGTACCCGCGCCACCCCCCCCCCTGTCACCCCATCCTCCCACCCCGCCGCCCCCCTCCCCCCCCCCCCCCCCCCCCCCCCGACCCCCCCGCCCCCCCACCTCCCGCACCATCCCTCCGCCGCCCATCCCCCTACTTCCCACCCCGCCTACACCCCCACCCCCTCCTCCCACTCACGCTCCCCCCCCCCCACCCGTCGCCCCCCCCCCCCCCCCCCCCCCCCCCCCCCCACACCCCACCTGCCATCCCCCCCGCTCCCCACACCCCCCCGTCCCCCATCCCCTCCCCCCCCCCTAAAACCCACCCCCCCCCCAACCCCCACCCCTCTCACTCTCGCCCCCCCCCCCCCTCACCAGGGCCCCCCCCCCCCCCCCCCCCCCCCCCCCCCCCCCCCCCCCCCAACCGCCCACCCCCACCCCTCCCCCCCCTCCCTCCCCCCCGCCCCCCCACCCCCCCTCCCCGCCCCCCCCCCCCCGCCACCCACCTCTCCTCCCCCACCCCCCCGCCCCCCCCCCCGACCCCCCCCCCCCCTACACTCCCGCCCCCGGCTCTCCCCCACCCCCTCCTGCGCCCAACCCCCGAACTTGAAAAAAAACCAGAACCCACCGACACCATCCCCAACCTTGGGCAAAACCAGACCCCCCGACACCAGCCACTTCCTACTGGTTAAAACCAAGACACCCCTACTAAGCAACCCCTTCCACTGATTAAACCCTATACACCCCTACCCATCCCCAACTCAGGGTATTTCCAAGAAAACCAAACAAAGAACATTAACAAGTGCATAATCCAATTAAACCAATATACTGCCAACATACTGTGGATATTACCAAGTAACACCAGTATTAAATGCAACTATAATGGGGATTTTTCCATGTAAACCAGTACAATGCAACTTAATAGGGATTTTTCCATGTAAACCAGTATAAAGCAACTTAATAGGGATTTTTCCATGGTAAACCAGTATAATCAACTTAAATGGGGATTTATTCCGATGTAAACCAGTATTAATGCAACTTAATAGGGATTTTTCCATGTAAACCAGTATAATGCAACTTAATAGGGTTTTTTCATGTAAACCAGTATAATGCAACTTAATAGGGTTTTTACATGTAAACAGTATACATGGAAACTTAATACGGGGTTTTTACATGTAAACCAGTATAATGGAACTTAATAGGGGTTTTTACATGTAAACCAGTATAATGCAACTTAATAAGGATTTTTACATGTAAACCACTATAATTTAAACCTAATAGGGGTTTTTACATGAAAACCAGTATAAAGCAACTTAATAGGGATTTGTTGTAAACCAGTATAATGCAACCTAATAGGGATTATTTTTTTTTTTTTTTTTTTTTGTTTTTTTTGTTTTTTCCATGTAAACCAGTATAATGCAACTTAATAGGGATTTTTCCATGTAAACCAGTATAATGCAACTTAATAGGGATTTTTCCATGTAAACCAGTATAATGCAACTTAATAGGGATTATTTTCCAATGTAAACCAGTATAATGCAACTTAATAGGGATTTTTCCATGTAAACCAGTATAATGCAACTTAATAGGGATTTTCCATGTAAACCAGTATAATGCAACTAATAGGGGTTTTCATGTAAACCAGTATAATGCAACTTAATAGGGTTTTTTCATGTAAACCAGTATATATATATATATATATATATATATATATATATATATATATATATATATATATATAATTTATTATATAATTTTCATTGTTCAAATTTGTCAAGAATTTCCTCTGGTTGCCCATCCTGCCCTAACCTGCCACACACTAAAGAAAACATGTTAGTTTAGTGCCTTGCCCAAGGACACAATAGTTGCATGCAAGAAGCGACTCACGGGAAACTCTGGAGAGTTACTGAAACAAAACACAAATTTGTGACTAGGATAAGCAATAATGGTCTAAAAGTTCTTGATTTATTGCGTTGGATCTTCTGAACTGATAACATTTATAATAATAACAGGTGGAACTTTGAGCTTGAAGTAAGAAATCCAGGTGTCCGTCAGTCGGGTCTGCGCTGTGCAAGTGTGAGCGCCCCGGGCGGCACTTTCCATTGTCTGACACCTATCAGTGCACAAAGCAGGTCATAACTCACTGCGCGGCCCCTGTATCCGAGAGGCTTCCCGGCCAGAGGCAATCAGGACAAACAATCCTATTTCCGATCTATATATAGCCGCCTTCTCCGATTACTGTGTTATTGCAAGATGGCCCCATTAGCCACATGTCACGTCAGCATTGTTCAGGTGCAGATGCCGTCCTGCTCACCACCTGTGTCTTTGAACTCTATCAGAGGAGAGCTGAACGGGCAAACATATGGTGATAACCTCAGGCTCCTCTCCAGTGGCCTGGTTATAGCTTCCCCTACTGCATCCGCTTCTTTGGGCCCTGAACTTGGCCCAGTCTTTTATCTTGATACGTACAGCTGTTCAAGCACAATGGATGGGCCACCTGACTTGATAAGGTAGATGGCAGTAGTCTGGGCTCGACAAAATGTAGTTCCAGATACTCTGAAATCATGTATTGAAACTAAATTCAAACTCCTCAAGTTTGTCAGATTTTTTTGTAGATTTGTCTTGATCTAAAATAAACAAATTTATAAGACGTGATCATATACAATTGCGCTTAAAAGTTTACACTGCCAGGCAGTGATATCTTGGTTTTGGCCTTATTTTAGAGAATGTGAGTGATAACACAAAGGCTTTTCACTCATTTTTAGTGGGTGTGTGAAGCTGTATACGATCAAATAAACATGTTTTATTATTTCAAATTGTAACATCAATGAGCCTTTGGGGAGACCGCAAATGTGCAGTTCATGCTAGGCGGCCTCAAAATTTACTGGAACTAGAGGCTTTTTTTCCCCAAGAAGAATGTGCAGCTTTACCATCAGAAAGGATACAGAACCTCATCCACAACTACCACAAAATACCCCGAGCTGTCATACTGTAATTGTTAAAAGGGGCAATACACACTTGAGACATTTTGAGAACTGGAGGATGGAAACTTCTAATCAGGGTCATGGAGCAGTTTCTGTTGTCATTATGCTTTGAAAATGGAAAGAAAACATGTCTAATTGGAAATATCTAGCTTTACAAAACCTATGATATTTCTGCTTGGATGTGTCAACTTTCAAGAACAACTGTTATACATTACTTTTATTTGGTAATCTGCCATCTTCACAGAGAGAAGTCAATTCAAAACTAAAAGTGCCCTGTATTGTGTCCTAAGTGTCAAATGATGTATCAATTTGGCAGAGTCAATATGAAAAGTCATTGCACCATCATTTCTATCTGCTGTGGAAGAAGATGAAAGGACATACATGTTTACTGTATATGTGACAAACAGCCCTATATCCTGTGCGGTGATGCCAGTGGGAGTCCTCATGTCTCCTGCAGAGGTGGGAGGAGAGGTGGAAGGAATGCGTCACGTCGGCCAGTTGTAGTCCGTTCCACCGGGCGTTTCTCATTTCCTGTGGCTGAACCTGCCCGTGTTTATTGTTACAGTAGAGATGCGCTTCCACACAGAACATGCAGCCCCACTGGTTCTATCAGCACGCTCACTTAGATCATGCACTTTGTATCTGATGGGGCTAAAAAGGGCTTTACACTGTTTTGATAGGCACTTGCTTGTATCTCTGTATCTGTGTTGAGTGTTGAGAGTCGACACATATGGCAAAGTCTCAGACATACAGAAACTGGATCGCCGAAAGTAATACAAGCCTTGTGCAATATAGGAACTGGGATATAGATATCACAGCATATTGAATGTTATGGCTTTGCATTCATCTGGCCCATTATCATAAGTATAAAATGACAGGGAGGAAGTGGCATCGGAGAACACAGCATAACTATATTAGCAAGTGCAAACCAAAGTGGGGTGAATGTAGATTTAATAGGCCTATGGGTTATGGGTAATTTATTTGTTTGAGCAACAAACAAATACTTGGTGGAGGTACAGTGGTTCAGTCGTAATAATACATATATTTACTCACTTTCTTAAGTCACTCACATATGAATCAGCAAGCATTTCAGTGGCTTGATGATTGGGGTTTCAACATTGAGACCTTGTTATTTTATGGTTTTTGATTAATATGGGGAGGATCCATTATCTCATGAAATTGTTATTGCCCTCCCGTCTTTCTACAGTGATAAGCCAAAGTTTGCTTTTTCCCTCCATTTATAATGCTTTACATTGTTGGAGATTTTCATTTTGTGTAACTTGAACCATGGTGAAGGTAATGGGAAAAGTGACAAAATTTAATGTGAGATTTGCGACTTGACCTTGTCCTGTAAGACCGTCCACGCCCCATTGTTTTTACCACCACCATGAGAATACCACAGTGGATCAATAGCTCCTCACTGAATGCACAACTCGGGAGCACTGTTGTGTTTGCAGAGGCATATCCTTATTTGGTTGAAATCATTCTTTTCTCTCATTGCCTAGATTACATCAGTGCTAATAATATCACAGCCGTAAATCCCAAAGCCTTTCTGTGTTGACACGGCCTCGACTCCCATAACAACTATGCTTGTTTTTGTTGTTGTTTTTTTATCATTTCTGAACTTATATAATGTGATCCTGGAACGACAAGAGGAGTTTAAACTAATATTGATGTTTACCCACATGAATTACGCATGGAATTTGGGGCATTCAGGTGTTTTCCGGCATAACAAGATAACAGATTGCGTCTTTTTTGTTTTTTAGTACATTCTTTTCATGCATGGCCCACAGGATCCGTGACTCTGTGGGAAAACTTTGCTTTCATGCTTATCGGGGTAAACTGAGAAGCAGTGTTATGTTGATTATATTAAAATATTTAGTCTAGTCAAATGGAAAACTAGTCGTTACTTGCAGCCATAAATGAGCAATATGTAAAAATCTGGACATAAGTGGTACTGCAATCATGGTCAGTATTCTGTAGTCCTCTCCCACTCTCCCTGACTCAGGTTGCCAGATATGCAGACCAATCCAGGATAGCTGAATAGACAAGAGTTTTGTCAACAACAAATCTATAAACAACACTTTTCTTTACAAAGACATCCCCGTTTTTTTAGTACTTCGGCCGCATCTTACTGTACCGGTGAGATTAACTCAACGCGCGGAGTTCTGGCAACCCGGGCCACAGACTTACTGATGGGTAAAATGGTGGTGTTATCAGTTAAAGAAGTATTCGAAAAGAGCAGATTTTATCAATGCCTTTTGACATATTAGGGCCATTCAATGATGACTGACATGCATCCATCCATCCATCCATTTTCTACCCTTTAATCCATTTCTGGGTCAGGGGGGTGGCAATCAGAGATGCACCCAAGTCTCATAGCACCAGCCCCTCACTGACCCTCTGCAGGTGGTGAGTCCACAGAAGCTGAGATCTTCCAGCGGGGGCTTTGGGCAAAGTGGGGTTAAGTGTCTTGCCCAAGGACACAACAACAGCAGTCATCAGTGGGAGTCGGTGGAGAATTGAACCCACGACCTTCTGGCCTTAAGGCCAATGCTCTACCAACTGAGCTACTGTCGCCCCCTGTCACATGCAATTCTTACATATTGCTACTTTAAACAGTGTGAAAATGTTGGACATGATTTAACATTCAAAATCACTGACTGTAAATTGTACTCTTCTCCTAGGAGCTTTGCATTGTGGATATTTAGAATTCCGCCATGTTCAAGGCCGTGCTGAAAAAGAACAGAGATGGAGGAAAGGGGAGCAAGAAGGATCCAGGTATGTGGAAAGTCTCTGGAAACACATCTTTTACACATCAGACGGTCTAGTCCAGACACATGTGCTTTTGTCATCTGCATCATGGATCGTCCAATTGTTTCCTTATGTATTGTATCCTTATTATTGTAGTCTCTCAGTTTGAATAAGATAGATTAAGAAAAGAATGAATGCTCACTTATCTGACACATTATAGCTGTCAGACATCCTACGTATAACTTTACATTTATTGTCCATAACGCTTTTATGATTCTTTTCAAACAATGAGGCATCATACAGCAGCAGACACTAGTTGGACTTCTCATTAAGGTGGATGATTCTGGTTGTGTGTCATGGAAGCAAAAAAGGGAACATCTGTAAAACAAAACAAAACCGCCATCAATTGTTTTAGGAATTGCTTTTTTGAAAACAAATCGTTTGCGTAACTTTTATTAGTTTCAGAAAGTTAGTTTGATATAAGTTACCTTTATACTATAAATTCTTCAAGTCTTTCCATAAAAGCTATACTAATCCAATGGCTTTTATTTGCTTGATATTTTTCTTCATTCTTTTGTTTCTTTGTTTGTATTGCAAACACGACTAACTCTAGCCATGCTTTGCCTATCAATTATGATCGCATGTCTCACGTACATAATACTTTGGTACAAGGCGTATGTAGATCAGTATAACTGCAGTTTATATTTATTACTGACAGGAGTCAAGGCTCTCAATACACGCACTCTGGCTATCAGTGCTGCGAGGTCAGTGTAACACAGCCGCCATGCATTAGTCCCGCACTAAAGTCGGAGTCAGTGCGAGCCCGGCTTAATGATTATTAGCATCATGCTTATTCTCCAAACACCATAAATGAAAAGCATACAGGATTGCAGCTGCTGGTTTATTCTTGATGAAGGATTGTTTCTTGAATTGTAAAATGTCTTTACTGTTTTTACAAGAGAACAAAGTCATACAGAATTTACTTTGGCAACAAAGTTGCAGCAGTTTTGCACCAGATGTTTTCTTTTCTTTTCTGGTCTGTGTTTTCCAGCATGACTAAGCATGAATCACTGTCAGCCTTACATTGTGGACTCATCTCCTGTTCACACAATGGCCCCTCTCCAAAGATGTGCCCTGACATAGGAGATTGACCATTTATGCTTATACTGCATCTTCCAGCCTAGGCTTGCTTTACTGCCACCCAACTGCCTTTAGCCCTTCGTCCGCTTTAATCAGTCACCCTGAGCTCTTCAAAGCTCAGCTGTCTCCTTGTTTGAGATTAACATGACGTCTTTCACTCAGCAAGTACTGCTAACATGAATCTGCTTGCTTTAAGTCTTTGTTGGACCGACAGGAGAAAATTATGGAGGTCCATCATAGTTCTGTGAATCAGTCTGACAACCCACCTTCCCACATGGTCCCCTCAGACCATAAAGGGAAAAAAAGTGACTGTACCCTTAGCCTCTCATTGCCATTACCAAACCAACTGACTTTTACAATGTACAATAGTCTGGCCTTTTATTTCATTTGTTGAAATGTATTTTACTAGTAACCAGGTGCTACGATTTTGCTCTTAGACCAGAGGTGTCCAAACAGCAAGAGGGCCACTCAGACTTGTTCATCAGACTTTACCTGGGGTCGACAAACTAGATTTAAAAAACTGGATTCAAGCTGGATTGACTGGATTATGGAATTTAAAAAGGATTATGATATGTCCTTATTGATTCACGCCACAGCTGATTTTTATTTGGAATGTTGTGACAATAAAGTCAACGACTGGATTCCAGAGGGTCTGAGATTTACAACAAGGTATATAGCGTGACTATATTGGTGAAGCTGTAGTTGGTTGGATGACACCGCCAAAGTCCCTCAATGGCAATTTTGTGTTAGCAGCAGAATGCCCACATAAAATGGCAAAGTGGGCCGCAGTTGGCCCGCGGGCCTGGGTTTGGACATGCCTGCCTTAGACACTTAACCCACATGGTCGGAAGGCCGATGGCACGCACTGGTTGTCTCTCTTCTGTCTGTGTGCCCCAGGGCAGCTGTGGCTACAGTAGTAGTTTGTCTTATAACCATGCAGGAAGTGAAAGAAAAATGACACGTTACGCGTGTCTAAAAAGTGCTATATAAAAATTATGCATTGTTATAATGCAGATATATACTGGAATCCTATGTGTACGTTCACCCTGGAGTTTTGTCTCAAATTACAGCTTTTTGTTGGTTTTATTCTTGAAATGTAAGAATTTTATATTTATATTTATCCTGACTAAATATGAGGTTGTAATATTTATTATGATGATATGAGAAATGTTTGAGAGAATACATATAGGAGTACCTTTTAATTTATTAAACAGTCATATTTCCTACAATTTGCATAAGCAGTTCTGCATTAACAATGGCCCTCCGGCTCAGACACACATGAGCTGTCCCGCACACTGCCGCCCAGGGGGTCCTGTACATGAGGCCTATAGAGACTTTATGGCGGGATCCTGCTCCTTTATCTGTGCCCGTCTCACACAGTTGGGGCCCATCCGTCAAACTAAAGTGCTTTGCCTCCCTTTCTCATGTCGGGACAATAAACACAGGACACTCCTCTCTGCTGCCCACTGCTTCTCAGACAAACACCAGGTCAACTAGGCAACATTTGCATTGCACATGGCCTGAAAAAGATTGGACAAAATTAACATGTTATCGGGTTGATTTCTTTTCCTATTAGACCACATTATAGAGAAACTTTATTGAGACACAACCTACATAGCTGTAGTACCAGCAGC